GATAGTAAATATACGGATGTTTGCATGTATGATGAAATAGAATGTCAATCTTACTTGTATGAATATATTTTCTGTATTTTAATGAAATGCATGTGATCTTCGTGCCAGGATCTTCCAAAGATTAGATGTGATTTAGTTCCATGCTGTTTTTCCTCTCCTTCTAATCATTATAGGCTATTGACTAGTAATTGATTTGCTCATGTGGATGGTAAAGTGGCATTGGGATAGTAAATATATGGATGTTTGCATGTATGATGAAATAGAATGTCAATCTTACTTGTAGGAATATATTGTACTGTTTTTTAATGAAATATATGTGATCTTCGTGCCGGGATCTTCCAAAGATGTTTTGCATGATTGTTTCTAATCAGATTACTTTGTTTCTTTTTATAGGTCCTGCTGAGGGGCAGAACTCGTGAAGAACTAAAGAAGGTTAAACATATTGTCCAGTATGCTGTTTTTGCAGCCTATCACTTATCCCTTGAAACTTCCTTCCTTGCTGATGAAGGTGCTACTCTGCCTAAGATGAAAGTAAAACGTTCAATTGCTATACCACAGAAAATGCAGACTGATAATGCCGTTCCAGTTGTAACTGGTTCCCTTTCTCCATCCAGTTTCAACCCGATAGTCAATGCTTCTGCTCAGAATGATGATTCTCTGGCTCTCAATCCAGAGCAAGGAGGATTGAAATCATTGTCTGATCAGTATGATCAAAGTCATTTTTTTCCTTCATTTGGTGCAGATGCATGCAATGATTTGGAATTGTGTTCTTTGGAACAATGCAAGGATTTGAAAATGTCTGCTATGTTGCCATGTGATATTAGAGATTTTCCACAATTTGAATTGCAAGAAACCATGACTGAAGAGGAGAGGCATCTTGGCAAGATTAACAAATTGGCAAAATCTCAAAAGATTGATGAAGTTGAAGCTTCCAGCGAATACTTTTCGGCCACCAACACACACCAGAGTATATTGGTTTCTTTTTCAAGCCGGTGTGTGCTGAAAGGAACTGAATGTGAACGTTCACGGCTCCTGCGAATAAAGTTTTATGGCTCTTTTGATAAACCATTGGGAAGATATCTTCGTGATGACCTGTTTGATCAGGTAACTCATTTTTGACTTGTGTGTCTTCATTTGAGATTACTGGTTTTATGTTTGGATTATTTAATTTAAAAGGTTTTCTTCACAGGTATCTTGCTGCCGATCATGTAATAAGCCAGCTGAAGCCCATTCCATATGTTATACCCACCGGCAAGGAAATCTGACAATCAATGTAAGACGCCTTTCCTCTCTTAAGCTGCCTGGTGAAAGGGATGGGAAGATATGGATGTGGCACCGGTGCCTAAGATGTGCTCATATAGATGGTGTTCCTCCAGCAACTCATAGAGTTGTTATGTCTGATGCTGCCTGGGGACTTTCTTTTGGAAAGTTTTTGGAACTTAGTTTTTCAAATCATGCAACTGCTAATCGTGTTGCAACCTGTGGTCATTCATTGCAGAGGGACTGCCTTCGTTTCTATGGGTAAATGGTGTAAAGTTTTAAATCTTTGATCTTTCTTGACAGTTAAGTATGATGTTGATAGGATTATGATTTCACAGGTTTGGCAACATGGTTGCATTCTTCCGTTATTCCCCAATCAATATACTATCGGTCCATTTGCCCCCATCGATGCTTGAATTTAGTGGAGATGTTCAGCAGGAGTGGATTAGAAAAGAGGCAGCTGAGGTTTGTTATCTATTTACCATGTTGTTCTTTTACCAGTGAAGTTGGCATATTCTGAAATTGTTGACTATTCTGTGTCGTATAGCTAATGGTCAAAATGGAAATGTTGTATGCGGAGATATCTGATGTGCTTGATAGCATTGAACAGAAGAGTAAATTATCTTCTGGTTGTCAATCATCAAATGCAAGTGAGTTACCGAATCACATTATGGAACTGAGAGATCAGATTCGAAAAGAGAGAAATGATTACAATGTAAGCATACTGAATATTAGTTTCCAATATGACCTTGAATACTACTTGGTAGTATATTTTTGATATTATATGTTTATCTCTGTTATCTTTGAAGTGTGCTGTTGAAAGATGATTTTTATGATTTGTTGACTAGTTTTTTTACTTCTAGGGTTTGCTACACCCAGTTGTTATGGAGACCTCACAACTGGGTCTGGAAGTTGTGGACATCTTTGAACTGAATCGCATAAGACGTTCACTTCTAATTGGTTTGTATGTTTGGGATCGGCAACTTCATTCATTGGACTCTTTTCTTAAGAAAGGCTCTGCTGTCAAAGCTGAAGTGGATCATTCCAAGGATGGGAAACTTGATGCTCATGAACAAAATGCCTGCAGATCCTCATACTCACAGGAGTCTCCTAAGAATGACATAGGGTTGGAGAACTCTAATTTACCAACCTTAGAATCTGTTGTGCTAGAAGAATCTGACTTGGCATTGTGTCATCAAATGAGAGACGAGGATGTGTGGCCAGATGAAAGCATCCCATCTCTTGCATCTACTCTATCTGAAAGAATAGATTCTGCTTGGACAGGTACTGATCTACTTACATTGAATATTCAAACTCCAGAAACATTACAAGGAGATGGATTCCAAGCTGGATTGATTAGGCCAACAAGTAAAGTTGATAATCTTCCTTTGAGAAAGGTAGCATCTCCAGTGAGGGTCCATTCTTTTGATTCTGCATTGAGATTCCGAGCAAGAGTTCAGAAAGGATTGTACCCTTCTTCATTGCATTTGTTGACCCTTAAATCTTTCCATGCTTCTGGAGATTACAGGAGTATGGTGAGAGATCCTGTTTCTAACGTAACAAGGACTTACTCCCATACATTGCCACTAGAGGCACAAAAGTTGAATTTGTTACTCAGTTCCACACCCACTTTAATCACCTCTGCATCTCATGTGGCTGAAGGGGCTCGGCTACTTCTTCCACAGAGGGGCCATAGTGATATTGTTCTTGCTGTTTATGACAATGATCCTGTGAGTATAATATCATATGCTCTTAGTTCCAAAGAATATGATGAGTGGGTTTTTGACAAGTCCAATGGAATTGGGGGAGGCTGGAGTGTTAGTGACAGGGGCAAAGAAGATTCTGCAGCTTCCAGCGTTTCACCCTGGCAATCATTTGGCTCTATTGACCTGGATTATATCCATTATGGAAGTTTTGGCTCTGAAAACGCCTCATCATCTGTAGGTGCCATGTTTGCTGATACGAGAAGGTCTCCACATTTAACATTTTCTTTTGGGGATGATTCTTCTGCTGCTGGTGGCAAAGTGAAGTTTTCTGTGACTTGTTATTTTGCAAAACAGTTTGATTCTCTTAGAAGAAAATGTTGCCCTAGTGAAGTGGATTTTTTACGTTCCTTGAGCCGCTGTCAGAAATGGAGTGCACAAGGGGGAAAGAGCAATGTGTATTTTGCCAAATCCTTGGATGAGAGATTCATTATAAAACAAGTACTAAAGACAGAGTTAGAATCATTTAATGAATTCGCACCGGAATATTTCAAGTATTTGACAGAATCTCTTAGCTCAGGAAGCCCAACTTGCCTTGCAAAAGTTCTTGGTATTTATCAGGTTTGTCCTTGTACTTTACCTTTTGAAAGCATTGTTTCTATGCATCCAGTTGGCATGTGGAGGTTCTAGTATATCGAAGGTTTTATTGTAATTCTTTGTGGTTGGCTTGATGATAGGTCCATGTAAAACACCTAAAAGATGGCAAAGAAACAAAAATGGATCTTATGGTTATGGAGAACCTATTTTTCAGAAGAAGTATCTCAAGGATTTATGATCTTAAGGGCTCTGCAAGATCACGATTCAATCCAGATACAACAGGGACAAACAAAGTACTGCTAGATATGAATTTGTTAGAAAGACTGCGAACAGAGCCTATTTTTCTTGGAAGCAAGGCAAAGAGAAGTCTCGAAAGAGCTATTTGGAACGATACATCTTTTCTGGCAGTAAGTTGCTTTGACCATGAAATCTTGTAAAAATGGTTTGTCATCTTTCAAATTCTTCCTGGTCTATGTTGAAGAAGGAACAAGTTCTTCCATTGGACTTAAGATTCTTTTTCTTATTTGTGTTACTTAAAGTTTTGTGCTGTGCTTTTCAGTCTGTCGCCGTCATGGATTATTCATTGCTGGTTGGAGTGGATGAGGAGCGCAAAGAGCTGGTTTTGGGAATTATTGATTTCATGCGACAATACACCTGGGACAAGCACTTGGAGACATGGGTTAAAGCATCCGGGATACTAGGTGGGCCAAAGAATGCATCCCCAACAATTATTTATCCCAAACAGTACAAGAAAAGATTCCGGAAGGCAATGACTACTTATTTTCTCACAGTACCTGATCAATGGACTTCATGATCTGTATCATCATTGATTCATTGGTTCATTAATAAGGCATAAGAAATTGTAATTGCTGATAAATGAGATGGGAGCTTTACCACTTTCTCTTTGCCCCCCTGGTATTTTTCTCTTTTATCCTCTTTTTCTTTCTTCAAAATCTCTTCGTTATGTACACATGAGAAGGGGGTGGGGGGAACAAAGTTTTCTTTTAGAGGGTTCTTTTTTATCACCTCTAAAGAAAGGGAAGAATTGAGGGTTCTTGTGTAATGTATCTTTTTTCTCGTGCATCTGCAAAAGTTTACCGGAAGAAAACAAAGGTTCCTCTTCCTTTACACGATTTGTATTTTTAACTCTTCAGGAAACAACAGGCGAACAAATCTTGGACCTCAAGTCGTTCATCCATGTGCCTGTAAATTTGCAAAGCATTGGCTTAAACGTTTAGTTAAAAGTTTTGGAAATAGTTGTCTAAAGCCTAAACATTTACTTTTATTCATGTTCCATCAGTCTTGCTACAAGTAGAATTCGAAAGTGTATGTTCATTTGCTCAACCTGAACACTCACTTTTATTGATGTTCTATTTTATATTTCAAAATATAAAATTGATCATTTTTTATGAAACATAAAATAGATCACTATATAAACATAGAGGTATTGCAGAAGATTTCCATAATCATCCCCGGAAAGAGGTTACATCTCTCACTCGAAGCTCTTTCATAGATTCCCTATAGCTCGAAAGCTAAAATTGTTGTATGTACACAAAAACGACCGAGTATAAATGTAGGGTGAGATCGAGAGGATGTGGAAAATTAACTCTGGGGTATGGTCCCATGGCTTGTTAAGAACTAACTGCTATTTGGCTCCCTTCCTCGCTGATTGGCATGAAACTCACCCTTTTCTGTACGGAACAAATAAAACTTTGGTTAGTTTTAAGCTGATCATTCATTCCATCGTTAATCAGAACAATCAATTTGAAAATATTCAAATTATACATTGTATTCAGAATTTAATTTAATTAATTTATATAATTATACTTAAAATTTATATCCAATTAATATAAAGTTTAAATTTTAATATTTGCGAATTATTTTCATTTTTTTTTTTTTGTACAAGTTTGGGTGAAACCCTTAAATATATAAGATTATCTTCTATTATCTTTAACTTTTTTTTTAATTATTGGTATCATATAACAAAGACTTGCAAGCAGGTCCAGGAAGTTCAATATAAGAAAGTAACTCGTGATATGGTTTGGACAATTATTTGTCATAATTTTCTTCCTTGAATGATCATGGGAAATGACGTAAAAAAGAAAAGGAGGACAAGAATATGGGATAATACAAATTATCAAACAACATACAATAAAATTATATATAGAAAGAAAGGAAAGTTCGATCTTTTCAGTCAAAAAGTTAGTAGATTGCCCTTTTTCCCATTGGGATTTGATTGGTATGTCGAATTGATCAGGGACAAACAAAGATAATAGGTTCAGATTCAGTTGTTGAGAAAGCTCTGCAAGGACAGAGTTCAAGGGTTATGAGTTTCTACTTGTTCAAAAATAATTTATTCTTTGGTCAAATTCATGTGAGTCTAGATAGATATGGCTTGAAACCATGGATTTTGATACAAGTCCAATCGAGACAAGCCGATCTAAGCCGTAAAATTCAATTCTTATGCGCCAATTTCTAGGGCCAACATCCAAAATTTTGGTCTTAAAAACATCATGGATGAGATAAAAACGCCTTGACAAACTTAATTGTTGACTTAAATTTTCGTTTCAAAAATCAGAATTTAGAACCGTGTTCTCGGTGACCAAGAGAATTCCACGGGACCCAAACAATGAAAAGAATATAAAAAACATAATAATTTATGATATGAAATGATACAAAAAATAAAGATAATATAAAATTAAAATTTTAATGAAATCATATATGTATTTAACAAACACATGTAAATATTAATTATGATATATAATTTTTATATCTATACAATAATATAAAAGTTATCCCTCAACTACAAACAGTAAATAATCGTTCAAGTGAATCTCCTATTACATGACACATACTACTTAATAATTATCTTTCAATTAATTTTTGTTTTAAAATTTAATAAATCTATTATTATTGTTATTTAAAGTAGTCTTCAAATCTATCGACGGATAGTTAGTTTAAGTAGCTCAATGAGTGTTGTTCTCTTTGTTACATAAATTTAATTAAAAGTATAGGTAAAACTAAATTGTTTAAAATTGAAAAAAAAAAAAAAAAGGAAAGAAGCTTCTGGATAAAAAATTACAAAAATTTAAAAATTAATAAAAATATTTTTTGATAAATATCTTTATGAAAAAATTACAAAATATTAATAATTGCTTGATGAGTGTCAAGTAATTAACCCTTTAGAAGACTTTTTTTTTTAATTAATGTTGTGCTTTATATTTATTTATCTTCATACATAAATAAGGAAATATATATACTTAAATTCAAATAATTTATATTGTTTTAAAAATTAAACATATCATTGAAAGATAATTTTCATTCAATTAGGCCTTGCCTTTTGTTTTTCTTAGAATTTGCTTTACAAAAGAAATAAAAAATCAATAACTCAATGAAAAAAAAAATTTAGATTTTTTAGAAGAAAACCTACTAAAATATATCAATTTACCTTTTTTTACTAAATTAAATTGAATAGTTTAAGATATTTATTTACAAAAAATCCTAAAAATGAAATTTTTAAAAACCTTAAAATTTATAATTTTTTATATCTTCATGCATAAATAAGAAAATATATACATTTAAATTTAAATTTAAATATTTAATATTATTTTTAAATAAAAAATTGATCCCGAGCGTAGCCGAAAATTTTTTAATAAAATATAATACGAATATTAAAATTATTAATTTTTTATACAAATACACATTATCTTATCCAAAAAATCAAAATTTTGGATCCTAAAAATTACTGTAGTGATTGCTAGTACTTTTGTCCTGGTCGATTGACTTCACAAATCCCCTTAATTCCTATTCCGTACGTCATTCTATTCCCACTTTGCAACTAAAGAGATAACGAATAAGAAATGTCAACTCTTGTAAACATAGACTATAATGGTTGTCTTGTTTAAGCTTTGAAAAATAAGGGAAAAAACGAAAAAAAAATGAAAAATATGCCATGAACATAGGATCATTGTCTGGTGAAACTAACCTCACGGGCCTTGAAACCTTCTCCGATGCTTCCATGGCTACCCTTCCAATGCACTTGTTGCTGCTGCAAAAACATGCCATCCTTTCCATTCTGCACAGCTTCACGTGGGCTGTTTCTGGCATTTGCCAGGCAAAGTTGCATGATTTTCTCTGCTGCCTCTGCCTCGTTATTGCTTTCTTTCATCAACCTCTCCACTTCTGCCTTGGGTAGCCTCATCTTCACCCTCATTGCTCCACTTTCGGACCCTTCTTCAGACTCCTCGGGTATCGCAATAATTGGTTTCATAAGTGTAAGATCAGAAACAGATCTCCTCGACAGCATCAGGCTCTCGAGCCTGTCTTTAGCACTCATGTTTACACCCGACCGAACCCTTCTTGGAACTCTCTCTTTCGGAACTTCTGGCAACTCTACCAAGAAGTAGAGCCTCTTGGGCTCCAAGTTCTGATGTGGCTGCAAAGGCTTTGCTCGAATCCCAAAATGCTTAACTGCTTCTGATTCCAACAAAACGTGTCGTGGATAATCTTTCACCACCTCTTCAGCTTTCACCGGGGTCTTCAACTTGAATGTTTCCCCGTTTATCTTCATGACTTTGGTGGTCTTTTTCCGTCCCAAACTATTCCCCATTTGCCTATAGTACTCTGGTTAGTTGGAAGCAGCTAGATAGCGTTTGCCTCTGATAGAGAATTAAACTAAAAGACTGGTTTGGTTGCTCTTCGGCCAACTTTAAAACACAATATTTATGGTGGGTGATGCCAAGGGATCACTGGTCAACAAAGAGGGCAAACCTTTTGAAAATAGACCAAAGTTTTAAGTTTGACAAGACAAAAACATAAAAAGTACGTAAGATATCGTTTTCAATGTAATCTAACTTTAAACCGTACGTTTAGAACCAATTCAACAACCATAAAAATATAAATATATCCAACATAGTTCAATTGGTAGTATCGTTTTTTTTTTTTTTTTGTAGTTTTAAGTTTAAATTTAATAATTTTTTATTGAAATCATTTTAAATGCATGATTTGTAATTATTATTTTTTAGACTATCAGATAAGATATTTAACTTTGAAAACTAAATAATTTATTTATTTTTGAATTTCTCTTAAATATAAATATTCCCAACAAAAAGGACGTCGGGCCATTTCAAAATCTATGTCCGTGATATGTGGGGAAATTACATGTGATAGTAAAAATGATTGTTCTTGTTATTGTTCTGATCTGCAGTCGATGAAGGTTTACCACAATCACGGTATGGGAAAGCTGATCAAGACTTTTTTTTGGTTAAGAACTTAAGATTCAAACTGCATGCACGTGTGAAAAGTGAAAATTGACTTTTATGGTTAACCGCTATATCATCAATTTCAGCATGACAATTAATGTAAGAAACTTAGAAAAGGACTTTAGTCTACGACCAACCATTCTCACGAGGCTTTAAAACGACTGCTAGGTTTGATTTGTCTCATAAAAACAGAGAAAGGTTTTGTTTTGAGCTTCAAGCTGGGTTTTTAGCATTTTTTTTTTAATTTTGTTTTGAGACGTTTGAGTTTGAACACAAGGTCCAAATTGACAGTCCGCTCATCAACTTGGAAGTCACTTACTTGCTATATTTATCAAAGTTAATTTTTCTTCTGTTTCATGTCATCATTCTCCAGAAAGATGTAGTTCCATTATTTACGACACCCCAACTTTCTACATATGACAAATCACTTCTGATGAATATTTTACATTAATTTCATGCCATTTTTCTTTTTTTTGTTCTTGTGCCTATGTAATCTCATTGAATTTCGAACTATATAAAAGAATAGTCTTCTCTTACCTTATAACAAGTTTAGTTTTTTTCATTCTTTAATTCAAGATTCAAACATGAGACTTTCTCTTATCTTATAAGCAATTTCACTTTGCACATAAAATTGGTCCAAGTACTCAAATGGGTTTTTTTGTTTTTTTCGACTGGGACCGAACGGATTCAAACTTTAGACCTTTGCTTATGCTATTTTGTAATTACATTTTTAATGAATAAATAACAACATATCGTTTTAGTGCAGAAAAATCACAAAAAAATTAAACAGACTAAAGCCCAAAAAGGCTCACGACAACCATGTTGTTCATGTATATAAAAAATGGACAAACCTTATAAAAAAACTTTCATCAAAGGAACGTATAAAATTTTTTATTAAAAATATGTAAATAAAAAATTTTGAATTGATAAATTGATAAAGTTTAACGTGAATTTCAATAATATGTAAAGAAAATTTTATTAAAAATATTATTTATAATTTAAATTTAATTGATATTTATTTAATAATAAAAATTTTATTAATATTTTTATTAAAAATATTTATTTAATAAATATATTAAAATTTATTGAAATTATTTTTAAAATTTTGTATACTTAATTTACATGATTAAATCTTTTAATTTATGTATTTTTAAAAAAAAAAATCATAAATTTTTCTTATAAGACTTCATATAAATTTTTCCACTCCAAAAATTGAGCATACTTATCTTCGCCTGACCCTCTTTTGTCCAATCAACGATAACGATTGGAAAGCGGCCGCCATCCTATCAGTCCAACCCCTTTTCCCATTACTTCGGCTTTCAAGTTTTTATATATTAACCTTGCTTTTGCTTTCAGAACAAAATGGGACGCATTTTATCAGCAAATTCTTATGCCTTCTTTTTTTATCTACTTGGTTTATTGAAGGATGATCTTATTGAAGAAAATTTAATTTACAGCGCGCAAAAAAATCGTTACAATTAATCACAGTTGGATTTTTGAATAAATTTTGCCAAACCAAAACTTGGATAGGCTTGTAAGTTGTAAATTTATCAAAGTTCCTGGAAGAAAATTTGCACATTTTCCCAAATCCAATAGCTCTTAGGTGCTCTGTTTCAATATGAGAAATCATTAATTTTCAATTGTTTTCAAACATATCCAGCTACAGCATGCTGCTCCAGGCACTTCTGCTGTCTAAAATCCACAATTTTACACAGAATAAGATAAAGGAATTTCTATGGCTCTATGAAACACTTCATGCTACCAATAGTTAATATTTATTAACACCAGCAAAAGCAATCTTCATTAAGAGATCAAATCAATTTTTTACACTTATCAATGAAAGAAATGAATACACAGAGAGCAATGAGAATGACTATGTATCTCATGCTCATTTCAGTTCTTGTGTCTGAAAGGAATGGAATGTTAATTTTGTCGAACAATTAGAGTCAATAGAAAAGACAATTAACAAACCCTCTGATACACTCAAAATGGTCAGAGCTGCTGTAATTTTCGAAGATGTTCCAACAATGATGTAGCATTCCGCTTGGCCCTCTCAGTGCCACTCTTGGTAAGCTCTGTCAAGGCTATGGAAGCACCAAGCCTACTTATGCAGGCAAGATTCTCAGTATCTCTCTTACACAAAAAGGTAAAATGACAGCTGCATTCTCTTTGCTGCGGGGCAAACCTGTTCTTAGAAGATCAATCTAAACAACAATTAACAAACCCTCTGGTACAATCAAAATGGTCAGAGCTGCCGTAATTTTTGAAGATGCTTCAACAATGATGCAGCCTTCCGCTTGGCCCTCTCAGTGCCACTCTTGGTAAGCTCTGTCAAAGGTATGGCAGCACCAAGCCTACTTATGCAGGCAAGATTCTCAGTATTCTCTCTTGCTTCCATGCTTCTAGATCTGAGGACTTGGACAATGGAAGGAACAGCACCAGCAAGCATTATAAGAGACTTATTATTTTCAAATATGGAAAGGTTAAGAATAGAAGTTACTGCATGTTCTTGTAATGACACATCATCTGTTGTTAAAAGATTGACCAGAAGAGGTATCACTCCGGCATCTGCAATTAGCATCCTGTTATCTGTGCTTCTTTAAGATAGTGATCGAATTTCAGCCACAGCAGCCCTACATTCCTCTAAGCATCGGCTTGACAGCTTATAGACCAAAGCATGGATGAATGCCATGTCACCACTAACACCATAGAAAGATCCACCACTCTTTTTGAGCCTACCACCTGCTAATTCGCTTGGCAGCTCAATATTATGTTTAGCACACGATTGATTTATTAGACTTCTCAGAACATAATTAGGGGTTAGAGTTAAATTTTCCAGCTTCTGCTGAGTTTTTGGATATGTTACATTGCCACAATCTATCCATCTCTGTGTGTAAGACCTCTCATATGTCTGTAAAACCAAGAAGATGATTAATCAGAAGGCAGGATGAAAGAGATGGCTAGAAGGCCAAGGTTGACCCCAGGAAAAGAAACATAGAAATGATAAGCAGTAATTGTGGTGGCATGCTACACCTGCCCAGTAGCCACAATCACCGGATCCCGCATTAGTTCCAAAGATATAGGGCATAGAAAATCATCAATAATTACTAGTGCATCAGGCTTCTTGGTTTCATCAGTACTCTTAGTGGCCACATTCTCTTGCCCCTTGGAATCAATTTCATTTGATAGGCAGACCTCAGAAGAGGATGAAGAGCTCTACAGTCTTTCCAATATCTTAGTTGCCTGATCTATACCATGTCCTGAAGTACCACAATGTTCTGGAATGCTATCCAGCTTTGCTGAAATTTCATGGTTGGTAACAACACATTCTTTTTTCCAGCGGCTGAGACAGGACATTAGAAAATTTTGCCGAATTCAAAGACCCATATCTTTCTGTTGCTCTTCCCAATTGTGCTCTCACCAGTGATACCTGAAAAAAAAAAAAAAAAAAGCCTATGTTAAAAAGGCAATTCAATATAGAAAAAATGAACAAACATATGAATTCTGGAGTCAAACCTGTTCTTGAACATCCTCTGAGATATGAAACTGATCATATGGGATTCTCCCTAAAGCTTTCTCCAGCTTGCATGTAACACATTGATATTGGAAAGAAATACTTTTGGCATCTCCATCCTTAAATCAAGATATAGTAAATTTCAGAGACGTACCTATAACAATAACATATTAAGAAGAAATGTGCATAACCACAGCAAAATTCCAGCAACCGCTGCTCTTCTGACTCCTCCCTCCGTCCCCCCCCCCCCCTCTTCCCAAAAGAAAAAACCCAAAAAATGGGTATAAAATTAACTTATCCCTTCCCCTGCATTTTCTCATGATCTTCAATTCAGATAATTAATTAGAATTTAGAATTGCTACATTTGCTGAGACAAATACTAATAATTGACAACAATTGATTAACCCGAGGGTGAAATTCATATTGATAAGCTCAAGAAATAGAATTAGCACTCTGATAAATTAACTCAATTTTTTTAAGCCCAAGTTCTCAAAATGGACTTAATCTATCACAGTAAAAGAACATTGATCCAGCAATTAGCATTTCTCCAGAATAAAAAAAAAAAGTTGACTAATTCTATCAATTGTATATAAGAATTGACATCGTCAGTAAAAATAAAAAAGAAACATGTTGTACTAGAATTTAAGTGGTAAAATAGCGGGCATTGTCGGACTATGCTAAGCCAATTAACATATCAACATAAAAAAAAAAAAAATTAAAGAAACATAGGAGATGGGGCTTTACAGAGGAATTGTTGGAATGGTAAGCAGAGGCGACGGACAAGAGACGCTTAGCAGCCTGGAAAGCTAGACCCAGATCAGCTGACCATGAAGAAGCAAGGGAGGAGGAAGAGGCATGATCAGACGGTCCAAAATCTCTGATTTCCTCAAGCAAATGCGTGAAGAGAGCTATCCTCCTTACCAGCTCCGTGCAATCCTTTTTAAACATGAAATGGGCGTGAGCAGTTCATGCAGCGACAGTCCCGGAAATGATATCGTGGACAAGAAGTAGCAAGAACGCGGGAGAAGCGTCGCCTGCTTGTGGAGAGGCGACTCCGCCGCCCATTTGTGAAAGCCAGGCGTAGGCTTCTGATTGGATTGAGACGAGTAAAAAGGAGAGTTTTCAAAGAAAACCATTGAGAAGTACAGGCAAATGCGGAAGCTGCTTTTTTCGAAGAAAACGATAAGAAAGAGAGGGAGAAAGGAAAGTAAAGAGGATAGACAAACAGACAGGGCTAAACGCTCAATTTGGATTAAAAGTTTGAGTGGTTGTTTAATTAATGATCTCAGATTTAATATGATTTAATATAAGAATTTATTTAAATAACGATTAAGTTATAACTGTAGTTTATACGCGCTATCAAATCTATTATCCATTAACATTTTTCGTTAAATACATTAATGTTAATGAATAAAATACAAAAATTAAACATAGTAAGAATTTATGATCAATAGGAAGCCAGAGAGTAAAATTAAGTACAACAATTAGTCTTGAAAAATCTAGCAACTGAGGTTAGATAGTAGCAATTCACAATCAAAAGTTATTGAAAAGCAAGAAAATTAGACAAAATTTTTTAATCTTCGAAGAAAAGAAAGAATACACAGTAGATTAATTGTTTTGAAATGTTTTTTGCGTTAAGAGAAAATTTTTTATTAGGCAACCAGCAAAGCAAATTCATCAACAATATCAGCAATCAATACTTAGCCTCAACTAAACAATTGATCTAATAAGGGGGTTCTAATACACCAAAGCAACCACAATAGCAAGATTTTAGAATTCATCATTAAGGATTTATTTTGAGTTTGATTCTTTTTGAGAATTTTTCAACAACGGCTTTTTTTTTTTGAAATTTCTTCTGGGTTTGATTTTTTTTGGAAATTTCTCATCAATAGGTTTTTTTGGATTTGATTTTTTTGAAAAATTTTGAGTTTTAAAACAAAGTCAAAAAAGAAAGAAAGTGTTGATCGATCGGAAACACAATAAACGATTAATGGCGTCAGATTCTAACGATGAGATTTTGTGATTCTTAAGCTCTTCATTTTCTTGGTTATTGTTGGGTTTTAATTTAAAGATTTAAAGAGAAAAGAACACAAAAGAGAGGTTGAACTAAAAATTTCGATTTCAACCATAAAGAAGCTATGCTGTTGGTGAAGGACGAAAATTGACAATGATCATTGGCGATAAGATTAATGGAGAAAAAAGCTGATTTCGAAGTGTTTGTTCTTCTATTAGAAAGAACAAGAAAACGGAGTTCACTTGAGAAAAAAAAAAAAAACTAGAGAAAACACAATTTTTGGTTATTTTTATTGTTCATTACATTGCAAAATAAGGATTAACGTCTTTTTTTACACATGTAAATCACAATCATAATAAATAGTCTTATTTGAACAAATTTAAAAATGTTACATCCTACATTGAACCAAATTAAAATTAAGATCTTTAATTAAAAATCATGCAAATGTTAGATTCTTAATTAAGCATTTAGCCAACAAACAGGCATTAGAGATTTATTACATTTATGTTATTCCTTGTTACAAAAAATTAAAATCTATAGTTTAAATTTTACAAAAATTATATATACTTTAAAAAAATTAAATTTTATGTTTTATATTTAACATATAACACAAATTTTATATTTCTCTAACATTAAAATTTGTTGAACATTATTAAAGTTATAGAATTAATGCTTCATCTAAATTTGTCTGTTGTTATTGGGGTGAAATATTGAAATTTTTGCATTGCTTTTTTTCTTTTATTTTGGAATCTTTTATCTTGGATTTTATGATGGTAAATATGCAATGCTTATTTCAAGCATTGAAACATTTTTGTTATTTCCATCTTTCGTAAAGAGTTTTCTTCCCAATTATGTTCATGGATATACTTAATTTTTTGGATGTTATTGGCAACAACATGATTACCTTAAAGGAACATTTGGTTTTGAGAAAAGTTAGATCATTAGTCGAAATTTTATTTTTTATAATTTGATTTCTTAATTTGGTTCACGAAATTTTATTATTAAGGTTTTTTTAAAATTTTTAACAGTGTCAAAAAAGAAAGGTAATAGCTCTAAATAAAAAACCCACATTTCATTTAGAGTTTTTAAGATATTTGACTAAATGTAAAATTTATCTCATTTTTACCCCTAATAATAATTGTTTATGGTCTATTTTATTATTAAAAATTAACTTAATTACATGATAAATCGAAACGTATTTTGATATATAAACTTGCAGTCTTTGTTGAAAAGACGAAAATTTTAAGTTAAACACATATTTTTTATTGAAAATATGAAAAGAAATTCAAAATTCAATAAAGATGACACTTATAAAATAGAAAATATAATCTTTGTTAAAAATATAAGAAAAGAATTTATACAATTCAACAAAGACAACATTCTTGAAATAGAAAGCGCAATCTTCTTTAAAAAGAAGATATTTCTAAGATAAAAAAACAGTATTTGTTGAAAATATGAAAAAAAATATTTTTTAATTCAATAAATATGACTTTTTAAAATAAAAATACGGTCTTTATTGAAAAAACAATTTTTTAAGACAAAAAATGTAATTTTTTTTAAAATATAAAAACTAAAAATATTTTTACTTAATATTATTGCATATAAAATATAAAATACAAAATCAATATATATGTTTTTTTTTGCGTAAGGTTAATTAACGTTGGGATAGTAATTAGAATTATATAATTATATTTGTTGAAAAAAATATTTTTTAAAATTATTTAATTTCAACGAAAATAACATGCTATTTACATGTGAATATAATAAATATTATATGTTATTCACATGTTATTAAATATAATATAATAAAAATTTTATTAAATAATTTTACATTTTTATGAAACAAATATAAAAATTTTATATTTTTTAAATCAACAAAAACCCATAAATCATATATTCTTCTTTAATATCACTTTTTACCTAAATTATTTTTTTCCTAAAATTTAAAAATCTGTGAATCAAACACCTCAAAGATTAATTTCTAGAAATACATATTCAATGACAACAATGCTAAATCCTTGATATGACATTTGTTTGTTTCTTTATGAATATCATCTACAGGGTGCAATCCCAAGTCTTTCCCGCAAAAAGTTAGTAACCTCCCTCCATCATTTTTACCTTTCGATGAACAAAAAAAGAAACTACTATATTGACATGTAACCAAAGAAAAAGAAACTACTATATTGATTCCTATGAGATTTAACATTGTTAAAATTATGGTTTTAACAAATAGTGTGTTTTGTCTCTGAAAAAAATAGATTAATGCCTATAAATTGATTGAATATGACTTACCCCATTCACAGTGAATGGTAGATGCATCAACACTCTTGTCAGTTACATATAGTGAAATATGCAACAATTCTATATCCTGGGTAAATTGTGCGATAAGGTGAAATTTTGAAGAAGTTGTGACCTCACGTTAGTTGACCTGGGGCATATGCAACTACACAGCAAGTGCAGAAGCTGCGTGGAGTCAAAACACAGCAGTCATATCAAAGTCGATCGTTTGAATGTTTGGTGCTTTGAAGAGAAATTGCAATGCAAAAATTGAAAACCCTAATGTACCTCGAACTTATCATTCGCATCCTTATAACCAACCATGAACTTCCCTGATGAAACATATATATAAATATCTGTACATTAGTTTAATGGCAATTACTTCGTTGAATGAAATTGATGATTTTCAGTGTTTCGCGTCACAATGATAAACACATGTTGACTTCTTGCACTATCATTTGAATGCACGTTTTATACATTGAAACAGACATTCAAAGGCTCGCTTATGTGTATATATATATATATATGTTGACTTCTTGCAGTATCATTTGAATGCACGTTTTACACATTAAAACAGACATTCAAAGGCTCGCTTATATATATATATATATATATATATATATATATATTCTCCAGCATGTTGTATGTGGCAAATTTCCAATGTCTTCATTTCTAAAATTTTGTTGTAAACGTACGTATCTGGTAGATTTCTTTTTTTTTTTTCAAGCATTTTATTACAACATAATCAATTAAGTTGGGAATCAGATTACTGAAGCTTAGAGCAAAAGAGTATTTATTATTAGTATATAATAGATAGGATGGATACAATATTAAATATTTGTTTCAAAGAGACAAATTAAGCCTTACCATGCCGTGCACATGAACTAATAACATCAAATGCATTACATGAAGGAGCCATCGAGAACAAGAAATGAAAAAGAAAAGATCATGTCTTCAGATCTATCAGAATAAAGTTTATGGCAACATATATGTTGATCCAGTAACGGATTTTAAGTATACACACTGCAGGAGAACAACTCTTTAACAAGGAAATTTTTTCGACAGAAAAATTTCGTTGCTAAAATCTCCTTTTACGGCTAACTTAATTTGCAAGGAAACTATATAAATAGATGATGTGTACCCACCTTTTGAATCTGATCTCCCCAAAGTATGCACCATCATGCCTAGGAAATTTTAGGAATTCCTATCAATGGAATTCAAATTTAAGAAAGTTGATGAGTATCTAGTTTTACCCTCCTTTTGGGGATAATTATCTAATTATTTGTGCGTAAGCCATCGATCCCTTTCCTCACCTTTTTTCTTTGGGTTTCCCATGTTTGGGAGTTTCTATGACTAAGATATATAGATAAATGTACACCTGAATCCAATTCGTCATCAGTATATTCTTGCCTCGTTAAGGGTTTATGTCTAAAATCTCCCTTTTGGACAAACAAATTAACTAGCGAAAGAGAACAAGTGTGGGAGATGGGGACAAATCTAGGTCCATTGATATGTTGAACTGTTTGTGGGTTTTTTCCTGATCTTCGAGTTTAGCAGCGGAAGGAGCTGAAATACTGATGGTGAGATCTAGGTTGAGATCAGGGAGCTGACTACATGGCTCATCCTCCAAGCAACTTGCAGCATCAGAAACTAGATCATTATCACATCGGGATTTCACTGGTGGATTAGTATTGGTAGCTGCTGGGACTTTTGAACCAGATGATGTTGCACTTGCACTGCTATTGGAATTATGTGGATTTTCAGGGCGAGGAAGCAGCTTGTGGCTGATCAACCGATGGTTATTTGGATCGATACCTATGTTTACAAGCTTCCTTCTTAAATGAGAGTTCCAATAGTTCTTCACCTCATTGTCGGTTCGTCCAGGCAATCTTCCAGCTATCAACGACCACCTGAAAACGTTTCCATTATTATATATATATAATATTATTAAGCATAAACTTGAAGGCTCTATATATATTATTAAACCTTTTCTGGCTGTGGAACCAAAGATTAGAGATTCAACAAAAGACTTTATATTAATAAAACTCTTTCTTGGGTTTGGTTCTTACTGCACCTTAATTTGAGTTTCCCCTTTTTATTGGGAAAATTGTACTTGCATTTCTGAAACAAAACTCCATCTTGCTTTTCAAAAGAATAAAAATACTATTAATTTCAGCTGGAGAAATAGCTATACTTTTTACGTTTTTTATGGTAATTAATCAATTAATTCAAAAAATTTTCAACAAGAGAAATATAAAGATATATATATATATATATATGCATATACGATATTCATACCGGTTGCCTAAGAGTGCATGAAGCTTGATAATGAGATCCTCTTCATCTTCAGCAAAGTTGCCTCTTTTAATGTTGGGCCTTAGATAGTTTATCCATCTCAACCTACAACTTTTACCGCAACGAAGGAGGCCTAAACCAATTTTTCAAAAATATATATTACCGTTAGCATCACTCATGCATACGTAGTTGGAAATTAATAATTTTTTTCTTTGTTTTTCCTTTGACATATATGCGTGCATATGGTAATTTAGTGCGCAGTTACAAAGTACCAACCTGCAGCCTGAGGTAGAGTTCGCCAGCAACCTTCACCATGTTTTCGAATGTAATTTATGAGCTTCTCATCTTCTTGCTTCGACCATGCCCCTTTATTTGTGTCTTGCTTATCACAGCAAGGCTTCCTCATTGTCTCCAACACCACTTCTCGCTCTCTATTAACTCTAATATGTATTTCAGAGAAATCAGACCATGGCAATCAACAAAGGGTACGCTCCTCTTGAAACAAACAAAGAAAAGGAAGAAGAAAGTACCCCTGCCCCCCAAATCCCAAGAACGCAAAGGAAAACAAGAGCAATTGAGGGAATATATCTTGTTAGGGTTGGTTTGTTGTTCGTTGTGGTATACTGGATAGATATGGATATATAGGTAAGAGAAAAAGGCAGGTTGAGTTGAACGGTGGTTTGCCATGCGCGATTGCACGCGAGTGGGTACATATCTTCACCACACTTCCGAGTGATAAGAAAATTTAGTACAATTAATTTATATAATTATTTTTAAAAAATAATATTTAAAAAATTTAAAATTTGAATCTCAATATATATAATTTTTTTATTTTTAAATTATGGTCTTCTTTATATTAAAGTATTTTGATAATATTTTTTTTGAACAAAATTTACATGAAAATTTTTAGGTGAAGTTCATAATTTTTTTAATTAAAAATAAGTAAATAAAATTTTAATAAAAAATTTAAATCAATAGATTAATAAAATTTAATATATAAAAAAGTTATTAAAAATATTATTTATAATTCAAATTTGATCAATAAAAATTCAACGATAAAAATTCTACCAATATTTTTTAAAAAAATGTTTATTTAATAAATATATCCAATTTTTAAATTCTATACATTTAATTTATATGGTGAAGTTTTTTAATCTATCGATTTTAATTTTTTATATTAATTTTTATTTATTCATTTTTAATAAAAAAATTTCACGAATTTTACTTATAAGATTTCGGGTAAATCTTTTTCTTTTTTCCTGTTGTTTTTCATGTTTGTTACTTAGTTGCTGTTAAGTATAAGTCTTTGTCTTTCACCAACCCAACATTCACACCCATCCCATCCTTTTTCATTTTTCCCAATTAATAAATTTTGTTTAAATTCAATTTTTTTTTCACTTTTGATCTTCAATATTTTAAATATATTCAATTAAATTAATTTTAACAAATATACATTTAAAAATTATATTATTCAAAATTTCGAAAGAGTATTTATTAATGATTTATAAATAACAATGACCAAACTTAAAAAATTTTGACTAAAAAAATCAAATTCAAGCATGAATTAATGGAAGGAAGGAGCATTAATAATTTATACAAAAGTTTGGTATAGTTCAGTTAAGAACGGGGAATAAAATATATAGCAAAAGAAGCATTAGGAAAAGAAGAATAAAAAGGAAGTTGGCAACTTCACATGTTTTCACGTTGACTGATAGTTTTTTTTTTTTTTTTTTAGCTATTTTTTTCACGAACAATGACAAAACATCTTAACAAACGGTCACTCTCTTTTGAGGTAAAAAAATTTATATTATCACTGTAAAAAAATAGCAAATCGTACAAAAAAATTATCACATTCATTTATAATAGAATTTTTAAATTTTAAAAGTTAGTTAAATGAGATATACTCTTAATAAAAGATTTTTTATAAATATATAACAATATTTAAATTTCAAATATGAAATTAATTACATTATTAACATAATATATATATATATATATCATTCTCTTCTTATTATGTTTCAAACTATATGTTTTTCATGCTCCTTTCATTTTACAAATTAATTATGAATAAAAAATAAATATAAATTTAAAATTTTTTAATTTTATTTTTTTTTTTATAAAATTCGATCTGTTTCAATTCTAAATTAATCAAATCTAAAATAATTTTCAGATATCAAAAGTAATCGAATCAAACATCACCGCAATATACTTTGTATCAGCTCTGATTCCTCGCAGAATGAGTATCATCTTTCTAAACATTGGTGCCATGATTAATTAGATCCTTTGACTTTTTGATTAATAAATAAAATTTGGATAATTAATTCCTATATTTTACTAAGAAATTGAATTGAAAATATGAAGGACAGGAAAATGGACTTCTAGAAACAATTATAGGAGAAAATAAAATCCTAATATAATCCAATAAGAAAATTTATTGTTTTTTTTTTTTCTATTTTTAAACTTTTCCTTAGTTAAAAATTATATATATAATTTTTTTGGGGAGATCGACTGCTTCAATAACTATTTAAATTGCAACCACTTTAATAAAAAAAATAGAATTAGTTTGTCAATTGAATATTAACTCAAATAGAATGCATATGAAAAAATTTAAATGTGTAATTTTTTTCAATTAAATTAAATAAATAAAGATTAAGTGTTAAGGATAAAATAAAATTTTAAAAATTAAAATTAATTTAAATAGTTTAGAGCATTGGTTTACTAGCGGTTGGGAATTGGGATGCCTGTCGGCTAATAAGGATAGGGTGTGTTAAATATATAATAATTGGTTAGGTTTTTGATGTTAAAATTTGGTTGCATTGTTTATGTAATCATATTGCTAAATAATAATTAGTTTTTTATCTTACAAAAATAAAAATTGAACAAGTTGGGAAATTTTAATAGTAAATTAGACATTTAGTTACTCAATTTTAGTCGATTTTTTATTTTAATCATCTAATTATAAAAAGTTATGATCTGATCACTAATATTTATAAAATCATTTTTTTTATCATTCAATCGGTAGAGGCTAATGACATGTGAATGTGGTATTATTATATCATTTGACATGTCATATGTTATTATTAACATAACATTATAAATTAAAAAAAAAAATTTTGAATATTTAACAAAAATAAATTAAATTTTTGGTCACTTAATTTTTCGAGAGTCTTTATTTTGAATACTCAACTTTAAAAATTTTACACCTTTATCACCAATGTTTTATGAAATTCATTAATATCTTAATCTTTATTATCAGTATCTCATTATCAACATGGTTTTATAACAATTTGATAACCAGCATTGATGCAATGTATATAATAAATTATTTTATTATTTTTATGATCTATATTGGAATATCTTAAAATAATCCCCAAATAAACTTTTGAATTTTATTAAAAAAAATAAACATTTGATATTTTTATTGCATAAAATTAAACTATAAACTTTTATTTTATTGTAATTATACCTTATAAATTTGACAAATGGAAGAATAAATTCAATTGCCAAAATTATTGACATAGTACTACATCAAATATTTATTATCCACCTCATCCAAAATATGTCATTAATCTCTAACGGTAGGAAAAAAAAAAACAATTTTACAAATATTAATAACCAAATCATAAATATCCATAATTTGATAATCAAAATAAAATTTTAACTAAAATTAAGTGACTAAATGCATAGGTACCAATTGGAAGATTCTTGAAGTGATTATAGTATTAATATTCCTCATGACTTTTTCTTTATAATGCAGTTAAAATTTTTGTGATTTTTTTTAATTTTTAATATATTTTAAAATATTTTATCTGTATATTTATATAATTAAAAAATATATTATATGCATAATTTTTTTGAATTTATAACTTTTAAACGTCAATTCTATATTTTGTCAAAGTGACGTAAAAGGGAATCAGCAAATTCTTGTGACGTTTAGTTGCGAAAATTTTAGGAATGTTAAAATTTTGATTGGTAGTTTTAGCATTCCCTCGCATTACATAACCAAATATCAATCATACGATGCAGTGGTTTTCCTGTAGTATTTGATTTGTACCATCCCATCTTTAATTTTGCAGTAGGTGAAGGACAATTAAAATTTCTCCACTGGCTAGGGGCAAAGGCCACTGACGTGGGCTTTCTGATAGCAGCAGCCGACCATTGACATGTTTCTAAAGAACAAACAAATTTCTGGGCTAAAGTTAGGCTGAGGAAAAAAAATAAAAAATTATTCCAAATTATAACGTTTGTCTAAAATATTAAATATTTTAATTTGGATCAATTTTCGGATTATAAATTGAAAAAAATTAAAAGATATTTAAATTGAATCAAATTATATTTTTTATTAATTTTTACATAAATTTTAAATTTTTATAAAATAAAATAATTATTTTATATCTAAATTTATTTAAATATATTTAAAATAATAATAATAAATTAAAAAATTAATTTGAAAAAACCAATGAATTAAACCAAATTGAACTTATAAAATTCAATTCAGGTCAATTAAATAAAATCAGATCAATTCTATTTTTTTAAAATCAATTCAAATTCAAGTAAGTTTTTGAAAATTCAAAATATCAAGCATTAAATGAAATAAACCGAATTAAATCATAGCCATTATCATCCCTGATAAAGAAAGGTAGAATGTAAAATTAAAAGTGATTCTCTTCTTCTCTTACCATTAAACCAGGTCTCACTAGTATTTATAGCATTAAACATGATCACCACCTGCCATATTCATTTGAACCAATGAGGAATCCATTTTTTGATTGGTACAAGCGATTGATTCAATTGCAACATTAGTCTTATTTCAAAGTCCAAAAATTAGATAATAATTAAAATGAACTAAAATTGCTTCAAAAAATCAAATCTATTTAATCTGTTGACACAGCTATTCACATCAAATTATCAAGAAATTCAATATCCATATCAGGGGAATTGTTGAACCCTAACTAGAAGAAAAAATAAAGGAAAAAAAAATTAGGTATTTTGTAAAAGCAATAACTGCAGTAAAAGCCTACAGCCTTCATTCCATGCAGTATAGCATTATATAAGGTTTCTTAGGGGCACTTCTGTCTAAGTATTGTAGCCAATATCATATAAACACACACAAAACTCAGAAAGTTAGTGTCTACATCAAGTTAAACTACTTCACTAAACAATATGAGGCAGTCAGTGCATTGACTTACAGTTTAATGTTCCATCAGAGTTCAGGCCTCCCATCAAAAATCGAAGAAAATTTCCCAACAACCTCACACCAGTGGTGAATATTGGTATTCCAAGTCAAACTACAGTGGTTTCTTTCAAATTGATAGCTTCGGTTTCAACATCTACAGTTGTTCTATTTCAACTTTAGACCTGCAAAAGCCAAATACCGTGCTTCATGCCAGCTCACATCACCTCAATCAAACCTCAACCATTATGGTATGTTGATAGTGGTAGACATTATTTCTGGCAAAAATATATGTAACAGTTAAAATTTTCAACCTAAGCATGTTAAATTTTCCATCGAGGTCTTACCAAAAAAGATGCTAGAAAGAAACAAAAACTCTTGCACCACTGTTATATGAACCAAAGAATGAGGACTTTAATATGTATATTCAGTTTTCAAAGAGCATTCCATATTTTTACCATTAAGTGATGGATGTTGCTCTTGAAATTGCAAAGCCATTAGCCGGAATAACAGAAGGGCAATGAATGTTATCAATTTTGTTCTACAGAGAGAATCTGCGTCAATTTCCTGCCTTATGAGCTGCAATAACACCTATAGCTTCCCAATTGTTTGAGACCTTGACCTGCACAAAATATGCCGTTGCATTGGTTATCAAGTGTTTACTCTCCACTGGGTTAAATTATTTAAGTACAGCACTTTTTTTTTTTCCTAATGATGATTTCAAATCTGTCTTTTTATTTCAAATTCAAGGAAAAATATCTTCATCAGGATAAATTCTGATAAGCCCTGAAACTACTTTGCCTAGTTTAACCCTTAACCTTAGAGAAGCAAACTCTAAGGCAGATAATCTTGTTGTGACTGGTGTTTCTAAAGACAATAGCTTGCATCACGGCTGTAAGGTTGATGGAATCAAATAAAACTGAAGGGGCGGCAATTAAACTGTGCTAATGAAACATGAATTTGGATTTTCCTTCTCTTTCTTTCTTTTTTTTTTTTTTCTTTTTCTTTCTAAAGACAAGTAATTTTTACTTATCAACATTGGACATGATAGTGATTGTAACTCTAGTCTCACTCATTGTAACATAATTGTTCTTTACTGCAAGGTCTTTATTTTGAAGGGAGAACCAAATATGGAACCAAGAGGGAAAGAGAACCAAGAGGGAGAGAGAAGGCAGTAATTAACATATTGCTTCAGAATGCATTCTAGACAGTATTTGTTCTACAATCATTACCGCAATTCATAGGCAAAGAACAGGATCTACACTAAAGTAGTGATAACTGAGAAAATGGTAAATGGTCTTCAGGAATCTAGGCACTTCCAAACCGAACTATGGTGATTAATAGAAATCTGGATCATAATGCTCCAATTACGTCAATAAGTCTTCTACACATGGTACACGGTGGTAAAAATCAGCCATTGGCATTAGCCTTAACAACACTAAGCTTTCAAATTAATGGCAGAATCTGATACCACAGCATCATATATGCTCAAAATCTGTTGAGATTTATCAAATTCAAGGCACATGAATGAATAGTTTAAAACATGTCCCTTGAGTCACCCCAAGGAACCTCTACTTTCATATAAAGCAGCCACTTTTCATTCCAAACCAGTTTACCAAGTTAGTCAACCAGATATTTAACCAGGCAGTTCAAACAGAAAGAGGCCGTTAATACAAGCATCCACTACATTAACAAAACTCTTTATTCCAAAAACCTGATCAAAGAAAACTACAGAAAGAAAATAGAAAGAAACTAATAACAAAAAGATTAAGCCAACAATTAGATGCATACCCCTTTGATCCCAACTTTATCTGCAGTGTCGTTCAGAACTGTTACATTTTCCTCCACACAGATTAAAGTCTGGAAAGCGGGGCAGGGGAGTAGTTAAGACTGGCATTATATTGAGTTGCAGCTAATTAAAATTACTCATGGTTAAGTGAAATGTTTTGGTGGACCAAGAAAGTATGAAGCCAAAATGCTAGTAAGCATGTTTTCCTTTTAATGAATTTGCCAGCCATTTTTAACCAGAAAGTGAAAAACATAGTTTGCCTTCAAATTTGTACCTTATTTCACTTGTTTCTTGCAAAAGCAAGAGCACCATTTACAAGCATCTATCGGAAGAATAATGCTGTTAACATCACTTGCCAAGATACAACCCTTCTTGAAGGACTCAGGGTTTTTAACCTAGTACTGGAGTGCATCACTTAGCCCTGCAAGGACACATGGCAAAAACGTGTATCTTATCTATTCAAAAGAAATGAAATAGAGACATAAACATATTAGTATGTAGAGGAGTACATGCTTGCATGCATACATGTGTGTCTGTGTGATAATCAAACTTTGTTACCAAGCTATTCACATAAAACAGGGAGAGAGACCAATCATCATATGATTTATTTTCTATTATCTAATCTATTTATTGTGCTCTTGTACCCATATGACTCTTTCTCTTTCCCTTTTTCTTGTTCATTTCCCACGTTATAGCCTTATTCTTACTTCAAACCAGCTCTTATTCCAATTACTGAGGAAGAATGAGTTATTGATGCCATCAAAAGACAATGGTGTTAATAAGCTTTGTTGCTAAAAATCTGTGAACATTGCATTCTCACTTTTTCATCTGTTCTAATTTTTATGGACTTAATCTAGGAACATTTTATCGATCATCCTTCAAAATGCTTCCAACCACAAAGTATTTCTGCATTTTTGCCATCAATTCTAGTTCATTTATAACGATTGAGGTTCCATTTGATTGTTATTTGCTACATGTTTTTGGCTTCTATGAGTTAAAAACAACCACCAAAAAAGGGTCATTTTGTTTAATTTTAATTAGGAAGAAATAATCTTGAAGAGGACAGTTCTGAAAGATAAATGTTTTTCTCCAGAAGATATTTTATTAAAAAATACTAAGCATCGGTTATGCTGTACCTAGATTCACATGCCAAACTGCAAAAGAAAAATGAAAAAGAAACAACATATCACACATAAGCATGCTCAGCATGTGTGGCAAGAGAGAGAGCACAAATTCTTTTCCTAAAACTTCACAAACCTCCTCAGTAGCTGATTTTGGGCTAAGAGATGTGGTCAAGGGGAGGGGAGAAAGTGCAGGCGCATGTGCACAAGTTATCTGAAATTCCTTCACCACAAGATGACTTATTACTGCCTTCACTCCTGCCAATATATCTATTCCCTGGAAGCATGTGCATGACATGGCATCAGATAAAAACCACTGAAAACAACTCAGAATTCAGAACTGGCTTTACCAGCATCTGCCATCCCTTCTAAACTAAAGATGAAAATGAAATTGGTAGCCAATTGAAACCTAACTACAGAAAATCACATACAAGAATGGTGCATGAAGGATTGAAGGCAAACTACTTGAAGAATTAAATTATTTAATAATTTAGGGGTTTAATTGTAATCTTTATACAAATTCAGGTTATTTTATTAGTTAATATTTTGCTTATTTCTCAAGTACTAGGGTTTTAGGGTTACATTAGCTATTTTGTGTTTTTATTACAGTTTAGGGTTTAACTAATGAAAATCTATGTTATTTCTGTTTCTAGTAGATTTTTGTTTATGAGATATTGATATTTTGGATATTTTGATACATAGATTTTGAGAATTCTTGAGTTTTTCAAATTATCACCGGATTGTCATTGTTTGAGAGTACTTGTTAAGTTGTTATACATCAATAATGCTCCTTCAACTTAGTATGGTCTGCAAGTGTAAGGCAAGCGTTACCCACAGTTCCTTATGGAAAAAGATCTATTTCTCATGTATTGGTGGTTTTAGGGTTTGGGATTTAACTTATAAAAACCTATGTTATTTCAATGTCTGGTAGCTTTTGGTTTATGAGATACTGATATTTCTGATATTTAATATTTAAGTTTTGAGAATTCCTTAGATTTTGAAAATTTTGACTGAAATTTACAGATTACACTTGAGTTTTATCATTTGAAAGTACTAGTTCTACATCAATGATGCTCATCTATCTTAATATAGTTTACATGCGTAAGGCAAATATTAGCCATGACTCTAGCAGTGCTCATGGGTACAGACCTATCATTTAAAATCAATTTTAATAGAAATTTCAAATTAACAACAACTTACTAACAAGAGAAAAGAAAGTGGAATAAAGGGAAAAGGAGAGGGAGAAAGAGTAGCATTATTACCATCTATCATTAATCTATGGTACTCAAAAGCCAAAAAATTGAATACTAATTAGAAGACTTCTTCTAACCACGTTAATTCCCAGGTAATTTGGCCTAGGAGCCTTTAAGGGGTAGTGAAGGTGAGAGCATAAGATAGCGGAAGGGAGACAGAGCAAAAGGAAGTGCGATAGAGCACAACTGATTGATACACTTCATGCAAAGTAGGAGTACAGTAAAGATCAGAAACTTTCACTTTCCATGTGCACTTATAAAAGACCTTCCTAATGGTAAACATAATTCTTTGTACTTTACACGAGAAGTTAAAGAGAAGAAATAATTGCCTTACAATTCCAAGTCGATAGTCATCGAGGTCATCCGCTTCATCATCTGGGAAGCGCCCAACAAGAGCAACAGCATCCACTTGTGATCATTCGACTAAATTCTTAACAGCCTGCAGTCAAGAATCAGGGTGTTTAATCCTACCTATAGATTACCCGGTTGTTGGATTGACCCACTGTTCCACCTGCAAAACTTGTTTCAGTTTATGGAGCATCAGGTTATTCTCTTCTTTGGACTTTATAAAGTCAAATTTTCCTCCAAGTAAGATCAACAACAACAATATTAAACAGTAAAATGCCAACTACAGCCTTCAGCTGACACAATGTATCAGAACGAAATTTGTCCCTAAAACATCCAAGCAATTGTGTAATTTCCTACAAGGAGCTGCAATTTATTGTTTTATATATCACAATTTGATATGTATTTTTTTCAGCTACAACATCACCGGTATAGAGCAGAAACTATAACATTCTATTGCCTGAAACTTTTATCTCTTGTTTTCCTAAATGGTAGATTGAGTTCAGCACTTAAGTATCTCTTCTCAGCTTAACCAAATTGTTACCTCTAATAGGGTGTCAGTGACAACATATTCAGCAACAAGGGAAGCCCTTGTAGCATCAGCCACTTGCAAATGGCGAATTTGAAGATGCTCTTCAATGCCGGCATCAAGAACCAATCCCAACCGCATCAAATCAAAATCTCAGTGAAGTTAAATGCTAGCAACTGACAACAACCAGCTATAAAACATAAAAGAGTAATTATGCTTATTATGTCCCATCTCAAATTGAATGTCCATCTTATTTTTTTGAATGTTCCAAAATTATGTCTATTTATCATTATTTTTTTTCTTTTGAACACTTAAAACCCTTACTTTTTCTACCTTCTACATGAATTTTTCATGATTTCTTTGTAAATTTTTATCATTAAAAATAATTGAACATCAATGTCACAAAAATATTTTAAAAAGTTTAATTTATAAATACACTAAATCCAAATCTCTTTCTTAATTTGCATTCCACGAAACTCAAACTTGAACATTAAATTTGAAACCAAAAAGTATTGAGAAATTAAAAAAAAAAAAACCTTGTTTTGATGAACAGGTCTCAAAGCCCATAAGCTTGCGCGAATTGGTCCAAACTCCAAAGCATAACCTTCAACATACATTACATTATCCATGGGCCAGTATACATTACATACCATTTAATTTAATTTATTTGAATCCCCAAAAAAATTTTTTTTTAAAAGTCTTACGCTCTTATATTAGGATGTGAAATAAGACAATCAACGATGAAGGATAAGGCAGGAGCAACAGGCAAAGCATCAGCCGCAAACCCCCCAATGCTGGCTCAGACTCCCGGTGGCACTATCATTACGGTTGTGTACGCCCTCTTCCACTGAATCCCCCCCCCCAAAAAAAAAGAGAAAAAAAAAAAAACTCCTCATAAGTTATACATATGCACTACTATCAAAAAGAAAAATGGAAAATCTTTTTTTTTTTTTTAAATCGGCTTAAGATAATGAAGTGACACACTTTGTTTGTGGAGTAAGGAGCGTAGCAGGTGATACTTAGCGGAATGGACGGTCCTGATTTAGTGATGAATGGATTCTGGTTGGGCAGTGGCTGCCACGTACGGCATAGGAGGAGAGCCGTGGGTGCCGCCATTTTTGGCGGAAAAATGAAAATATTGGATACTTGGTGTTGGAGAGTCTGAGACGGAGAGACAGGATAACGCAAGCGGCCCCTTTCGAGGTCTCCAATTGGGTAGCAGATTGACGGCCTTGCCCCTTATGATTTTTGGGCCTTCATATAAGAAAGTCTACAATGACCCACACTCTAGCAGCCCATTCTTTTCACACAATTTATTCGGAGGTTTCTGGAACTAAATATCTATTTACTTGTCATTAAGCCAGCCAGATGCCACGTGTTTGAACTTCAATTAATTTTAAAAGATAATATTTAAAATTTTAAATTTTAAAATTTATAATATTTTTATAAAAAAATTAAATATCTTTGATTTATTTTTTTTTTAAGTGTGAATAGCTGTACAAAATAGTTTGGCTAATGCCATGTCATATTTGATTTATCGTTAAACAAAAATCATTTTTTGATTTATTTTATAGGATACACATTACATCATGACTTTGAATAAGAAAGAGGGATTTCAAGAAATTACGTATCTGTTCACTTTATCAATGATCGAGTCAAATTTGTTGTATCATATCTTTTTTAATTGATTCTTATGAATTAAATAAAAACAAAATTTCAATGAAGTATTCGACTTCAAGGATGAATCAAACAAAAAATCGTTATCTATTTTACTTCATATTTGTTATGAAGAAACATGTTATAATTTTTTTATTACAATTGTCACAATAAAAAATTATGTAAAAATCCATTATTTATAAATATGAATTTCATATAAAATTTTGATAAATTTTACACATTTATGAATTGTAATTGTTTAATTGTATTACAATAATTGTAGGTGATATATTCTAAAAAATGCATATGAATCTCCAAGAATGATTTGGAAGATCCAAAACCAATTGAATTTTAGTTCAAATATCATTTCATCACGTGAATGTAACATTATGTAATTATTTAAGTAAATGTAATATTAAAGATTATAATAAAATTCTTCTGAAGATAATGAATAAAAATTAAATAGAACATCCTATAATATTTTTCTCAAGACAATGAATAAAAAATCACTTATCTTCTAACACATCAATTAAAAATTAAATATTTGATTCGCTAAATTAATTCAATAAAAACTATTTTCATATACTTCATCAAATAAAGTTCAAGCCCACATTAACACACATAAAAAAAAAAAAAAAAAAACCATACAAAGAGTTTAAACCACAAATTGGCAGCATTTCTAGATCATAAAGCTAGCTGCCTCTTATTTTTAACCAGGATCCCCACCAATTGTACGTTTCAATTCCTTCCGATATGGCTTGTCAATAGAGTTCTTCTTCCTGCATAGATGAACTGAGTGTTAAAATGAAAATAAGAGAAGAAAGAAATTCCAAAAGTTTTCAATCTGGAAACAACGAGCTCAAAATTTGTATGAGCTTTTGAGATTATCACCATCTTTAGGCTTCTCATTTGATCAACTTGATGGGCCTAATCATCTCATTATCTTCGTGATCCAACATCTGCATGTACTGAATTCTGTCAACAAACTTTTAATTTCATAAAATAAAAATACTGCAAAAGCAAAACATGTTGATCATTTGGGTTTTATAGGCAGGCAAAAAGAGAGATCATTCGTACATGGCAATGATACAGGTAACCAGGCTGCGCTGTTGGATCAAATGAATATGAAGTGTTGGAATGTATGTAAGAAAACCTAACCAATATCTTTGTCACATATCCTGGCATCATCTTATACACGTTCTTCCACCCCTTCTCATGTGCTGCCACCTCTATCTTCTTGCCAACTGCGTACTTGTTTATTTGGCACTTGATCGCGTCGTTGTTATTCAACATGCATCCCTTGAACTCCGCTTCGTTCACTAGCTCAGTTTGATCCAACACCGTAAATAGTCCCAGATGAATGTGCAATGGATGATTATCCCCCGTTAGATTAATCACATTCCAAATCTCAGACGTCCCGGCTTTAGGGGTCTCTGTCACCGGCGCATCGAACGGTTTCCCGTTGATGTAAAGATGCGTAGGCTCACCGCTTTTGCTTGTGTACTCATACATTGCTATGTATCGTGTTTGTGACACACTAGATAAATCCGGGGAAGGATATTGTATTAGTTTATTGGGTACTTGCCACGTGTCAACCTCCTGATTTTTGTTGATGATAAATTTCATGACTTTGCCATTTGATTCATTGACTGGGTTACCAGACGGGTAAGGGTAGGGTGCATCGTTGGCCAGAATAGCTTCATCAGTTTTTGACGTTGAAAAGTCAACGATCACGTCTGCGATCTCTGATGGAGCCAGCAGAGTTTCATTGGTCACTATGGGTTCCCCAAGGTAAGCTGAGTCAGCTCCCACGTGGATGAATTTCAAGCCATTGGTGAAGAAGAATCGGAAGAATCTCGCATTGCTGGCATTGATTACACGGAATCTATATTTACGACGTCGTACCATCATTTTTGGCCATGCCTTGCCGTTCACTATGATTACGTTGCCGAAATATTCTGGCCGCCACTGCGGATGTATAAAGGGATTGTTTCCTGTGGAATTCATATATATGGATCCATCTGTATAAAATATACGATCAAACACGAACAAATGTCGATCAAACTCGTCACCAGAGGGAAGTTTAAGTGGGCCCTCAACCTCAGGATGGCGAACAACATAGGCCCCAATCAGGCCGGCTAATAGGTTGACTCTGGTCAATCCCAGGGCATGATCATGGTACCACAGATTTCCAGGGTGTTGATTATTGTCGTAGTGATATGTTTTCTTATACCAAGTGGGACCCTTTTCTTCGAATTCAGCGGTGAACCATGAGTTTGCGTTTCCATCACTGGCAGGTTCATGGATGCCCCCATGGAGGTGCACTACAGTAGGGACTCCATTCTTGGTGGCAGGAATGGCAGTAGGGATAGTTGGATCCCATGGCAGTATGTGCTTTGAAGGGAGGTAATTTTGCCACGTGACGTAAGTGTCAATGCCGTGGAGGGCCTCGATAGTCGGACCAGGGACTGTTGCCGTGAGACTGGAGGTACCGTAGGCAAACACCGGCGTGGGAGGCAGATCCCTGTGGAATTTCTGCAACGCAAAAGGGGACAAGCCAGACCGGTTATCATCATATTTTAAATTTTAGAACAACTAAAGAATTTTTAGTGAAAATAATGTTAAAATTATTTTATAATTAAAAAATATGACAAAGCCAAAATTAACCAAAAAATATGACGTGATATTTTATACCGAAAAATATGTTAGGATGAAATAAGAAAAAAAAAAGATAAAAGAATTCAAATTGTGTGGTATTACATTTAATAAAAAATATTATAATAAAAAATTGCTAAGTTGAGTCATAAGACAATAGCTGTGAAATATGGATACAATAGGATTCGGATTAATATTAAGATAATTTTTTTAAAATATGACATAATAAAATAATAATAATTTTTATATAATAATATATAATTAATTATTAACATATTAAAATTTTTTTCTTTAAATCATCCATTCTATCATTTTTATCTTTTATATTCTCTTCCGTCATTTTTTTTATTTTTTAATTTTAGCATCTGAGTTTTTTAAGATTTGGGTTTTACTCATTGTTGATTTTAATTTTGAAAAACAATGCAAAAAATGGCATAACTATAAAAAAATTTTAATTAAAATTAAATAATCATCAAATCTTGATCGTTTAATTGTAAATAATTAAACCCTTAATAATTTGTTTTCATCAAATGAATTTTTATTACACAAAAATTAATTAACTGTCAACATCAATTTTTATCCAATCAATAGCTTAATTAAATAAAAATAAAAATTTAAAAATTTAACTAATTTTAATAAAATAATAAAATTTTAAATAATTATTTAATTTTATTTAAAAAAATTTATATTTAACCAAAAGAAAAACTTTCATCCTGTATCCAACCGAATTCGAACGTATATTGATAATGATTTGCAGATATGATCGTATATATGTCTCGAATGTATCTGATACTTGTTCGAGGCGTGTCTTGATACGTCAGAGACGCCCTTGTCGAAAACGCGTCCGACACAAGTATGCCAGGGTAAACGACGTGTGCTTCATGGTACACGGGCTACCCTCTAATAAATTAATTACGCGGAGGACGCCAATCCGATAAAATTCTCTTAAAACTCAAATTTAACGTATAAAAAAATTTTGTGTTAGAAAAATAAACTGTTTCCTGTCCAAATTTAAATCAGCAAGGCAGAAAATCAGGAACATTTGAACTTAAAAATAAAGGAATTGAAAGAATGATATATAAGATATAAATAGTTACCCATTTCTTCTCAAACATGCCGATCGTCAGTGACTTAGCCTTGGGAGAACCATTCACCACATCAAAACCTTGGATTTTTGGCATATATGGAAGCTCATCAACGAACATCTCCAACACTGATGAATTGAGAAGCCCCTTATTCGCCCATGAACGGCTGAGCTCTACCAAGAGAGCTAAACATATGAGATGAAACAGCAGAATCCTCCCCATGGAAACCATCTCACATTGCATGATGAGCAAAAGAGAGAAGACCGGGGGAGAAAGAGCGAGCACTGACTGAGAGATAGACAGGGATAAGCTGTGAAAGGAATGACTTGATTGGTGGTTTACTTGTGGCTTAATTAACTTAATTATATAGGCTTGTGGTTTACATACGCCAAACTAGAATACCAACATAAATTCATTATTATATACCATACTATGTATAAAATAAAAATAGCATCACGTTATTGGATGCTTTATAGACATTAATTACAATTTGTTGGACCCTAATCACCTAGCCAATATGTTGACCCCGAACTCGCCAAGTTTGCACAGAATCAACTTGCACGTCAGTAACCCACATAGGGTTGACATCCACGTTGCTCACCCGCGAGGGCCACTCGCCTTACAGTAACCTGGGTATGCAACCGGCCAATGGGTCGTCTCAACGTAAGTCACCTGTCCTCTGGCCATCAACTGTCAATTACTATATGTTCACTAACATCATCAACCGTTAACTCTCTAAGTCACATCACCATAAACACAATTATATAGAGGAATCCTAACCCTTTCTCTTGAACCAAAAATCTTCTCCTTTCCTTTCCTAACCTTTATTTTTATCTTCTTGATTTAACTGATTTGAGTGTTAAAATGTGCTTTGGAGTCCTAATTTGGGCGTTTCTTGACCATGCTCGCTTCTTGCATGTTTCTCTCACCTCAAAATCACCTTCCAGTTGAGCTCCATCTCACTCTCACCAAAATTTCCATCCGCAAAAACAATTAAATTACTAAAATAAAAATACATTAATTTAATACTTTATTTTCAATAAATTTTAAAAAAATAACACATCGATTGTATTTTTTAATATTATTAGAAAATTATATGTAGTTGATACCAGTAGAAAGTTATAGTCATAGGCAATAAAGTATAATGAGTTTGGCAAACACACGCCTTTTACTATGTTAGACAAGGACCTAGACGATGGAGGTGAGATATATGTGCAACACAACTTGAAGAAGTTAATTATAGAAAAAAAGTCATTTTTTTTTTTTTCAATATTCTCTTACAAGTTGACACATACAATTTTGATTTAATAATGTAACAATTTGAACCAAATGCCCACTGATCACCCCATAATGTCAAATATAGATAATTATCACCGACAAATTTGAAGAAATTTTGTGACATATTATAATATTTGAATTGGAATCCAAACAATTTCAATCTTATTCCAATAAAAAAATCTATAGATGATCGTCTGGCATACCAAGTTGAATTTATTTGATCTCATCATCTCCTTCAAGAACCAAAGGGATATATATGTTCCTTAAAAGCTTTGGTGGTCTAGGAAAAATGAAATAAAAACTTTTATGAAATAGAAAAAAAAACTATTAAATAGAAAGTTAATCATTCTTAAAATTAAATCCATTTTGGCAGGTCAGAGAAAAAATATTTTTATAGTTGAAATTAAATTTAATTGTTTTAAACATTACATGATAAATATAATATAAAAAATAAAAATAATACAATATTTAAATTTTAATAAAAAATATATAAATTTAATACAAATAAAAAAATTATATTTGACATGTCGTTACATATTATTATATAATAATTTTTATATTTTATATGTATCATATATATATTTATAATATATAAAGTAAATAGTCAAATTTAACTAAAATATTGCAAAAAAAACATTATATTAGATAAGAGTTTCAACTTCTAACATGCATGGAAGCTTCGATGTTCGAAATTTGGATACAGAGAGGTTGAATTACGTGAGAAGAAAAAAAAGATCACTTCTCGTCATTCTTATGACAAGACAAAAAGAGAGGGAGAGGATGGGGCATAGTCAATTATTTTGTAGATCCATGCCCTCTTTGAAGCGTGATGTATTTGTCTTTAGGTGGCAAAATTTTAAAACGACAACCAAAGTCTTCCCACTACGTATTATTACATTGACTTCTTCGATCACTTTGGTCGTGTTGTTTGCCCCACCTCATTTATCACATTAATTACAAATTTAATTTATGGATATTAATTCAATAACTTAACTTAATCAAGCAAAATTCCTGTTCCTGTCTTTTTCTTTTCATAGTGCTTCTCCAATATGAACGAGATGATGCTAAATCAATCACTTGGAAAAACGTATGCTCTTTAAATCAATTTTTAATTTCTCAATCTTTCACAGTTGTTTCCAACCATGCTTAAAGCACTTGTGCATTTATTAATTCATCATTTGTAATAATGAAATTGTTTTTGTTCATAAAATATAAACTTGATCAAGTGCCTTTTTGTGGATGTCCAAATTGTAAACCACTTGTGCACAATTTGACTAGCTTTGGCTCAAATTAATGGCACGAAGAGTTGAGAGATTCATTGTTTGGATTCTAAAATCTTATTTTATCAAATAAATTGATGGTTGGGAGATTGAGAGGTTAAAAATAAATTAAAATTTAAAAAAATTTGTCATTTAGTTGTTATTTTTATTTTTTGTTATTATATAACAGGTTGTTTGTTCACAAAGAATATAAAAAACAGTTGCTAATTCTTATTAATTATCTAATAAATATTTTAAATTATATCTAGCATGCAATATCAATGAAATAATAATAGATTTCGTGTGACATCCTCCTTATAATAACGGTTTGAATTGAATTGGATTCGGTTCAATTTTTTTAGATAATATATAATATTATAAATTTTTAAAATTGAATTTACTTTCATTTGAAGTTGATCAAATTCAAATCGAATTTTATTAATTTGATTTAGTTTATTGGTTTTTAAATTTTAAATTTTTTATATATTATTTTAATAAGATTTTTAATGTATCTAAATATATTTATATATAAAATATTTATTTTATTTTACAAATATTTAAAAATATATAAAAATCAATAAAAATATATAATTTAATTTGATTCGATTTTTTTATATCTTAATTTGAAATTCGATTTGAATTTAATATATACATTTAATATCTAATTTTGATTCAAATTGAATAAAAAAATAATCCAAATCAAACCAAATATTATTATTTCAAGTCAGGTTTTTTTTTTTTTTTTTTTTACATTAATAGCCACCTACAGTATAAAGGATAGCTTCCTTGGTAAGAAAAAAAATGAAGGAAAATGGTTTAATTTAATTGTTAAACTATAAAATAATACATGTTGCTATATAATTTAATTATTAGATTAAATTTATTATCTTTCTGTCGGCATAAAAATGTTATTTTTGATCAATAATGGTGCAATAATTTCATATTATTTGAAAAGAAGAAACTTATTTGGGCCAGGCCTGGCCCAAAGTGGTCCATTCTCATAGACCTGAATGAAAAATCGAGCCATGGATCACTTTTTCTCAATGGCCCTTCTTAACCCAGCGATCAACTCGTTCAAACGCTTCCTCCTCAATTCCCGCACTTTTCCTGTCAACTAAAAACCATCAAAAGACTCTCTCTTGGCAAAAACAAAAAACGAAATGGCCAATCTGATAGAAACCTATGCATGCGCCCCTTCTACGGAACGAGGCCGTGGGATTCTAATCTCCGGCGATTCCAAATCCAACTCCATTCTTTATTGCAATGGAAGGTCGGTCTTCATTCGAAACCTTGACCGCCCTCTCGACGTTGCCGTTTATGACGACCACAGCTACCCCGTCACTGTCGCTCGTTACTCCCCAAACGGAGAGTGGATCGCCTCTGCTGACGTCTCTGGAACCGTTCGAATCTGGGGGACGCATAACGACTTCGTTTTGAAGAATGAGTTCAAGGTCCTTTCGGGTCGGATCGATGATCTTCAGTGGTCCCCAGACGGGTTAAGGATCGTTGCCTCTGGCGATGGCAAAGGGCAGTCCTTTGTTCGCGCTTTTATGTCAGTGTTCCTTATCTTCCTTTTTTCTTTCTCTCTCTTTTTGGTACAATTTATGTTTCATAATCAGGGGAAGAGAGCTCCAATATAAAATTTCACTGCCATTTTACTAAGAAGAGAATATTATTGTTATTGTTCGAATAAATTAAGGTTAACTCCAAGGAGAATATAAAATAGTCCGATTTGATTATGGTTTTTTGATTGTGAATTTGAAGGTGGGATTCGGGTTCAACGGTGGGGGAATTTGATGGGCACTCGAAGAGGGTTCTGAGCTGTCATTTTAAACCGACGAGGCCGTTTCGAATTGCAACTTGTGGAGAGGATTTCCTGGTGAATTTTTATGAAGGTCCACCCTTTAAGTTCAAGTTATCTCACAGGTAGGTAAGACTGTTCTCAATTGCCTTTATTATTCATTAAGTAAATTGCTCAAGTAAGAATGCCTTGATTTAGTGAGGAAAATATTCCATTGATCGCCTGTTCTTGCTTTACAGTGATTTTGTTAAAAAAAAATTGTTAAGAATGTGTAACAGAATGAATGAATGATCAAACCAGAGAATAAGAATTGAAAGAAATTAAGATTAGACCAGAGAAAGAAAGAAGAATAGAGAGCAGGAAAAGAGTTGATAATTTTCATTCATATTCTGGGAAGTTACAGAACAATGCTTATATAGCATTAACTTGCCCTAATTCTTTCATCATGATTGTAACAGAATTTCATAAACGCCTAACAGATTCTATGACAGCTTTTTCACAAAATTGCATGAAAATGAGCTACTAACTGGCTGCCACATCAGCTTCAACCTTACACTATTCTCCTTGTCTGCATTGCCACCACCAGCCGCCAATTCAGCTGCTGACTTCACTCTCGATTTTGCTCCCTCCATTGCTTTCTCCATTTCTGTTGTTTCCTGCTCAATTCTCAGCTTCCTGCAGCTGTTGTTCTTAGTATTACCCTTCAGCACTCTGTTGCCATTCATCCCTGCTCATATCATCATAGAATGTTAATCTTAGACATTTTTTTGTCACTTTTGCTATTTCCTTTTTTGTTTTCAGGAGCAGAATGCAGAAAGTTGACTTGGAAGCAAAATATAGTTTTTGGTTTTAAAATGAAAAATTTTAAGTTTCATTTTGCTTATTTTAAGTTTTGCCCTTTTTTGGACAGACAGAATTTCGTCTTTGGAATTTTTTTTAGCAACCAAAAACCTAATAAGGAATATCAATTACCAAGAAAGAAAAACCATATGGAGCCTTTTCCCCGCTGTGTAGGTCGTTGTATTCTATTCAAGGTCAAATCCTCAACAAGCTCGGTAAATTCTGTTTTATAGCTTTTTTTCCATGTTCTCTATTGTATTTTTGTCCTCTTTCTTAGCTATCCTCCACTAAATCACATATTCTTGGCACACGGGTGGGTGTAATAATTTATCAGGGATTGTTTTGGTATAGAATCTTGTGAATAATAAGTCTACACACCAAAGAAGACATATACTTACACGTTTTTTTAAAATTTTGTTGGTTGACATGCTAATTCATCCACAATACAGCTGAATCCCCCTTTACACATGCGGATAGACTGGAGAGGATTTGTTGTTTTTCTGTTTCTTTTCAATATTAGTTTCTCAAAATAAGTATGTGCTCACAAAAACTATGGCCAAGGTGACTTAAAATCTAAAATTAAAATTTTTGATAAGCAAATCAATAATACAAGTCGATTTATGATGCAAATAAGGAACCTTTTTTCGTGGCTGCAATAATCAGATAAATCCATAATACTTCATACAATTATTTATCGCTTCATTTTGAAAATACTCTTCTACTGGTTCTTAAGATCTATTAGTTTTAGGGTTATTCAAGGATTTGTTTTATGATCTGCAGGGACCATTCAAATTTCGTCAACTGCATTAGATTTTCCCCAGATGGAAGCAAACTAATCAGTGTAAGCTCAGATAAGAAGGGTATAATATATGATGCAAAGACTGGTGAAAAAATTGGAGAGTTATCCTGTGAAGATGGTCATACAGGTAGCATTTATGCTGTTAGCTGGAGTGCTGATAGTAAACATGTAAGCACCTACCTGAATATTTAATTTAGTTGCTTTAATTAAGTCCATTGCTTAATTAAAAGAGCAGTACTAAATGCAACTGTGCTTCTGATCATTACTCTCTCTTTTGTTGAACTTCTTTTACAGCTCAATTGCAGGTTAAGAGCTTTTGAATTTGTTTGTCATCAAATTGGTTTGGTTTCATTATTTATATGTGCATGTCTTAGCCATTGCCATTTCTGGGTATATTTACATGCATTCTTATTGAGAATGCCTAATCCTTTTAAATGTGTGTTTTGATCACTTTGTGAATTTAGGCTAGAGATGTTGACAAACTGGGGATAGTGGAAGAAAACATTATTTTTTTGGAGGGTTGCGCCACCTTACATGCTCAAGAGCTTTCGGGCTTGGAGGAATCATAAGGTTCAGTAGACAATAGAGCATTATGCGAATGAGATTAAAGCTTTGGATTCTTTAGGCTCCATTTTATCGGCGCTTTTTCTATTTGATTTTTGCTTCTTGTAGCAAAAACAAAGTAAATAATATTTTTGAAGATTATAAACAAAATATGTAATGCTTTAGATAACAAAATTAAAGATTCTACTTTTACATAACCTAATTATGTTACAATTAGTATTAAATTTTAATTACTTGGCCATTTTAAATCAATTATAATATTGTTTTTTAATTTTTGCTTTTTCTTTTGCTTTGTAGCAATTCTTCAAAAAGCATATAGCAAAAAACAAGTAGCAAAACATAAATAAAATGGAACCTTAATTTTCTGCTGTAAGTCAGAAAAAGTTGTTTTACAGCACTTTTCTCCCCTTTTTTTTTCCCCCAGATTTATAAGGTATTAGGAATTAGGATGTTTTTCCTCTTGATTTTCTTTCTCTTTTTTCTTTTCCGGACGTATAAAATGTTAGGCATCACAAAGTGGTTTTCCTCTCAATTTTCTACTCTAGTTCTCTCTTATATTTCCATTGACTAGGATTGTGTTTCCACTTTGGCAAATTTTATGTACTTTTTGTTACTTAGTTTAACGAAAAAGAAGGGGAAAGAAACCCAGCATTGCGTGATTGATTAAGCTTGAAATAAGAAGGGAAAAGGGGGGAACGACAAGTCCTCAATTAAGTTTAACTTGCTCAGCCAACGAAGTTGTTAGTTACAGTCTTTCATTCACCTGTTCCATTTCTTAAGTTTAGCACTAAGGGCAAGAAAGATCTATACTCAAGAGTTTCTCACTCATTAGGAAAGGTTGACTGGAGTTTTCATCACAAGTGACACATTTATCTGAATGAGTATGTTTGCATGAATAACAAAATTTTTCTAGTTCTTTGTTTCTTCACTTTACCACATCCAATCTCTTAATTGCAATTCTATGTTTCTCACTTATCTGTCTATTATTTGATTGATAAATAATCAGGTACTAACTGTCTCTGCTGACAAGACTGCAAAGATATGGGAGATATTTGAGGATGGTACTGGAAAAGTGAAGAAAACATTGGAATGCCCTGGGTCTGGCGGAGTGGAGGACATGCTTGTTGGATGTCTGTGGCAGAATGATCATCTCATTACAGTTTCCCTTTGTGGCACAATGAACTTATTCTCTGCAAGTGATCCTGCTAAACCCCCATTATCTTTGTCTGGACATATGAAGAACATATCTACATTAACTGTAATCGAGAGCAACCGAAAGATGATTCTGTCCAGCAGCTTTGATGGATCCATCCTTAGATGGATTCAAGGGATTGGATACAGTGGTAAATTAAAGAGGAAAGATTGCTCTCAAATTAAATGTTTGGCTGCAGTAAAAGATGAGATAATTACATCTGGATATGACAACAAGGTAAACTTAAACCAAAAAATGCATTGCATTTTATTATTGTTAACAAAGTATGCATTAATAATCTCTGTTTTTGAACGTCATCCACCCATAAACAGAGGAAAATGTCAAAACAAAAACTTTATTCTTCAAATAAAATTAAGTTATGGAGTAAGGACTTCCCAAATAGCTTTTGCTGTCATAAATTTTATTTTACCTGTTTAATATAAATATATTTGCATTTGTTGTCGATTTTTGTTATTTAAGATTTTGCAGGGGAAAGAGATGGTACTATGGAAGCATATAAAATTTAGTTTAGTTCATATTTTGAAATCTATACAAGGTGTGGTTATATATATTTCACCTCACTTGAACGATGGATGCATTTCAAATGAGTGACTGGAATGGTATAACTCAAACATTATAGGAACTTTATTTTAACAGCGTGTTGCAGCAAAGAGAGATAATTTTCTTGCAACCTAAACTTGTAATCCAGATATTTTAATTAAATAAATTAATGGATAAATCTTTGGGCTGATTCTTGAAAGTAGTTTTTAGGGCTAGCACTATAATGTTTTCTGAAGCATTTGTGGATCTATACGTTATTACATGTTGTGTTTCAACTATAACTTTGAACTTTATTGATATGTTGATTGTGTTTGATGGTAATGAAAATTATTCTGTTTTTCTTAGCAATTCAATGCCCCTATCCTTAAAGAAATTGCAATGCTTATCTTCTGTAGCATATATGTTGAATTTTGAGATGTTTGTTCAGCATCAATGGTTATAATCTTGATGTTCCTGTAACTTAAACATTCATCAAGATGTGTGATAGAGCACCAGGATTCAATGAGTCTATTCAGCTAATAAGTTGGCCAGATTATAACATGCATGAAAGATGCAAAAAGGTTGAGAAAAGCAAGTGCTGGGTTTCAGTCTTGGTTTATCCACTTAGGCTTGCCTGGATGCATGGTTGAATTTTCTAGTTATATTTATTAACCAAGTAAAAATTATATAGGAAACATGTTATGTCTGCATGTCTTTCCCTATAAAAATGCAAACACGTGGGGAGAAGAAAATAGAAACTGTGGAGAAAAGAGAAAGAAGTTTGCCTTTGTTAGCACCACATAGGCACTTAGTAAACAGACCATGAAAAGTTTTAATGGAAATTATAATCATTGGACAGCTAGATCTCATTGTGTAGCTAATTAAAACTGAATCTGGCTCTAGAAATATTACTTATACTGGGATATCTATACATGGGTCATGGGTAATCTTATAGCATTAATCAACATTGATTTCATCTCTATCTAGACAAGTGCTTTCTTGGATTTATATTAACCATCAATACTCTGCATCCTTTGTAGCTTGAAAACTAGTTTTCTTTACTGTTGATAATGCCTCAGTTAATTTCAGGTATGGAGAGTTCCTCTGCAAGAGGATGAATGTGGGGTTGCAGAACATGTAGATGTTGGCAGCCAGCCAAAAGACTTGAGCCATGCCATTAAATCCCCTAACCTGGCTTTAGTTTCAACTGAATGTGGAGTTGTATTGCTTAAGGGTCTTCAAGTACGATCAAACATCAACCTTGGATTTACAGTGACAGCTTCTGTTATTGCACCTGATGGAAGTGAGATTATTGTGGGGGGGCAGGATGGTAAGCTGCATATATATTCTGTCTCAGGTGATTCTCTTACAGAAGAAGCAACCCTTGAGAAGCATAGAGGTGCAATTAGCGTGATACGTTATTCGCCAGATGTTTCCATGTTTGCTTCAGCCGATCTCAATCGTGAAGCAGTTGTTTGGGATCGTGTCTCCAAAGAGGTAGCTTGAACTTCAAAATAGTTATAATATGTCCCAGCCTTACTATAAAACTTGAATTCTAAGTTGATTCATCCCATTTTTGAGATGAAGGCCTGGTGGTAACAACTGTTATGTTCATTCCCTATTGCACACTCTAATTGCTTAACATTTGCTAAATATAAAATGTAAATTGGGAAATACAAATTCAAATGAGAGAGATAGCTTCCTCCTAAACGAGTGGATGCTACAAAAATAGATTATTGTGGGATGCAGATCCATCAGTCTCATTCATTCATGGATATTAGATCCTGGAGAATCCGCCATTTTCTATTTTTAGGGGGGTTATCCTCAAGTTTCTCAGTAACATTTGCTATATAGCTCTGAAGCCTGTTGTGCATGACTAGAGTCCTGGGTCTGCCGTGACTCTTTTAGGACTGATTGCAGAATCATAATGGTGGTTTTGGAGTTTGTCTAATAATTTCCTCAGTTATCTGGTTGTTTATGTTTGATTGGCATCAACTGCTACGTAGAAAACCTGTTTTATTAACTCCAATTCCATGGCATGCAAGGCTATGAACCAAAAAGTTTCATTTTTTTTAGTACCTATAATATGAAATTATAAAACTAGAGAACTTGTTTTTATTTCTTTATGATATCTTGAACATCATTATGCACATTTCTATAGGTACTCTTCTAGTTTATTATCTTTGTTGCGGCTTATTCTTTAATCAAGAAACAGATAGAAATAATGTATCGCCAAGAATAGTCCAAAAAAAGTTTGGATTATTGTGAACAACAGGATATCTTAAAGTGCTTTTAGCAACTGACTGGATGTGTTAACCATCTTTTTCTTTGAACTAAAATATCGTTTTGCTATTTGTCCTGCAGGTGAAGCTGAATAACATGTTGTACCACACAGCTCGTATCAATTGCCTTGCTTGGTCTCCTAATAGCACTATGGTGGCTACGGGATCACTAGACACTTGTGTAATTGTATATGAAGTTGGCAAACCTCCTTCGAGCCGCATAACTATAAAGAACGCTCATCCTGGTGGAGTTTATGGCTTGGTTTTTACTGATGACTGCAGTGTGGTTAGTTCAGGGGAGGATGCCTGCATCCGCGTTTGGAGGATAGAGCAGCAATAATACAAGTACTGCATCAGAAACATATAATGCAGGTTAGACCTTTAAAGTTTGCTGAATGCACTTTCATTCACTTTCTTACTTTGAGATATTGGTCAACCTGAATGAACTACGGTAACAAGAAAAAGCTTGCATGTTTCATGTAAATGATGCAGTTCTCATGTATTAGAATTAGTTTAGTTAGTTGCATTTTGCACATATTACATGAAAAATCCAAACTAGTTTTATAAAAAGGCTTGAAATCTTTCATTTTCCAGTCCAGGTATAAGACAAAATCTAATACTCAATTCATACTGCTATGGACTACAATATCAACCTTTTTAACCTTGTTGTCCTCAATCTACGAATTGCCAACTTATTTGCCTGGTATAAAGCAGAGTATGTCATCTACTGCAGTTGTTACCATGTGACAGGTCCATAAACATGTTTCAGGGTACAATTTCCTTTTTCAAAAATATTTTGCCAAAGAATAAAATGAGAGCAAAGCATGCAGGTAAGCATCTTCCTGAAGGATTTTTTGAAACATGTTACCATATATTTCTGCTCACACGGTTTCAACATGTAAGAGGGAGCATCCTTGAGACAGAAATAGCAGTTCTTATTAGTATGTAGTTTGCTTAGATTGTTTGGGACCATTTGCTTGTGAGATTGAAATTTTGTTAAAAACTCTTTTTGCAGCTTTCATCCTTGTGATCATCAATTTACTTGGGAGAAGAAACTTGCTTATCTTTGGTGTGATTGTCAATCTGGTGATATTTTATCTACTCAAGCCCGAGATAGAAAGGCTGGTTGTGACTGCATTTATCCGGGGAGAGTGGACTATTGGGGCAAAACAGGACGGAAAAGTTATATTATGAAATAAAGCAGGCAGCATTTCAAAATAGAGGTGATGCTCATTTTCTATTCTTTCTTAAAAGGGAAAAAAAAAGCATTCAAAATATTTTATTTCATTTTGGTTTCTTCCACATGAAACTTGGTTACTGTTCATGACAGTTCTTAATTCTCTTTATATTTAGTATAAGGTTATAAAAATAATGAGTTATTTGCACAAATTGAAATAAGCTAAGCTTGTTATTTACCTTTTGTTTTGTTTTTTTTTTTTTTTCTGTTTACTTTTTATTCTTTTTTTTTTTTTACAAATGAAAAAACAAAATCTAAATAAAATATCAAGCAAGCGAAACCAATGTTAATGAATCTTACTTCACTTATATATTTTAGTAATTGTTCTGAGAGTATCATATTCATCGGTTTAGGATGGAGATTCTTTGTGGGGGTTAAAACTGCAGAAATTCCTGTTTCAGTGCACTGATCTGTTTCTTCTAAATCTCAAACAATGAAAGGCAAATCAAACACAACTGAACCAAGGGATTCAAAGTGTCGTCCCGCAACCCAATTTTTTAAAGGGAAAGACCATCATCACATAAAAAACAATTTCCAGTATCTTTGCTTGCATTGGCAAAGCTTTGCTTATGCAGTGGGAGGAACACTGTAACAAGATACTGATGGTGGGTTGGGTGGTCGGTGGTCCTGTCCTGTTGGCCTTAGCCCGTAAGCGACAGGCCGCATCACAATACCAATGGTAATGCACGTGACCGGCACCTGCATATCTACCGAACCTTATATGCACACACTTTTCAGCACAAACTTGACACACTGTCAACCCTGCTGTTCCTACCCTCTGGCGCATAACAATATCATTATTTGCTACACTCTCAAGTTGCAGTAGCCAGTTGCATCTTATCTGTTATTGGAATAAAATAAAAGCCAATATTAACGGAGAAGACTGTAAAAAGATATTTTAAAGTGAATTTTATGAAATTTTTAATTAAAAATAATTAAATTTAAAGTATTAGATTTAAATAAATTTTTAAATAATTATTTTTACAAAAATTTTAATAATTTTAATTTTTATCATTAAATAAATATTTATAAAATTTAAATTATAAACCATATTTTTTATTTTTGATATTATTAATCTTTCCATTAAAATTTTCCCATATATTAAACTTTATCAATGTTTTAACAGACTTCTCCTACTAACTTCATCTAAATTTTTACCGGTCCTCAAAAACCATACACTTACACTCGCATAAATTAGTTAACAGCCATAGATTAATCACTCCTTTGCTTAGTATTTTTGTGGATCCCATTATCATTCCAGTCCAGATCAGAAGAAAAAAAACAAGAGGACATCATCTTAACAACTACACAAATACAACACTAGACAAAAGATTCACTCAGACATCGCATTCCAGCATCTTTGCTACCCTCTACACCACATAGTAGAATACTGTCAAAACCCACTAGCTCCACTTAGAAGAGAGAATTTCATGTCAAACAAACTCCGTTCATTCTCTCTCTATACATATTTTCCCTTTCCTCTCATTACATTATTGAACAGCTGCTGCTTGTGTTGTCATCACCGAGCATATGGGTTGCTGCAGAATGTTCAGCATTGTAATTGGCGGCTTCAGGGAATGAGTATGGAGGAGGATTATAATTATAGTAATATCCAGTGGTAGGAGGAATCAACGGGGATCTATTATACATCATCAGGGGTTGTTGCTGCATTGCATGCCTGTTCTGCAGGTTCATCATGTTCATCATTGATGATGGATGGTTGTAGCCATTCATGTTCATGAGCATAGATGATGGATATTGACCAGTAGCATATCCCGCAGTTGGAAAACTTACATCAGAAGAGCCCTGCAATCCATTGTTGGATTGAACTTGAAATCCTCCAACAGCATTAGGATTGCCTCCTAAAGCTGCAGCATTGGAAACATTAGCAGCAATTCCATGAAAACCTGAAAGACCCATCATGGAATTGATGTCATTTCCCCTCTTGCCCTCTGCTGCTGCATTGATGTTTAAACCACCCAATTGAGCATTATTCATCTTCAGAGCAGCCAAGGTATTTTGGTCAAGCACACCTGGATTGTGGTTTCCTTTCTTTGCAGTATTCCCATTTATAAGATTGTTGTTCATTTTATTATTATTGCCGGAAGCTGCAGTAATGTTTCCAACACCTTTCCTGGCATTATTTTCATCAAGACCTTGTTGCTTAAGCAAACCAAGCTGACCCAACCGACCCAATTGACTTGGTTTGAGAAATTGCAGCTCATCCTCTTGGTCATAATCATCCATACAATCATCATCTTCCACAGAAATGAAAGCAGGAAATTTCTGCTGGTTCTTGAAGGCTTCAAGTCCTTTGACCAAGCCTTGTTTTTGGCCTTCGTTGTTGTTCTTATCATCTTTGATGCAGTTGTTCTTTTGGTTTTGGTTGGACTTCTGGGACCAAACTTCAGCATGTTTACCAGCTCTGACCAGTTTCTTGATCAATGTTGCAGAATCTACACTTCCTGAGACTGTGACTTTCTGCTGCTCTGCATCTATGCTTACTTGGTAAACACCTGGAACAAATAAGAAAACAACGTAAAATTACACAAACAGATTAGACATGCACATGACACCAATTAATAGGACCAATGAGTTGGAAATTTTCCTAGCAATGTGTCCCAGACATCCGGAACATTACAAGTATCTATCCTAGTAACCTCTAACTCAAAGAAATTTCATCGAGTAATCATTCCTGAAATAAAGATGAATTGGTCAGTCCAGATCTTAGGTCATTACATCCCATACTGATTGAGAACTTACAAATTTTCACAACTTACTTCTCTTATCCAAAGCACATAGAAAGCAAATCATTGTTCTTACTTCTTTCAGTCTATCAAGCGGACTCAGAGAGTTCCCTTATTGTCTAAATTTAGGGAAATAGTTTTGTTATGCAAAAGAAAACAGCCACAAGAGTTTGCAAGAAAAAGGAATAAGACTCACTCCGAACAAGACAGACAATTATTTTACTTTGCTAAGTGGTCAGAATTCTGTATTCTTGAGATCACTCTTTTGAACTACGAGCAGCAGAGCACTAATGAGTAATGACTCTTTTCCTAATTTCCTCCGCAAACCAAGCAAGAAAAAAACTACTACTAAGAAAAACATATTCACAAACAAGAGAGAAGAGAGGAAAGAGAGCAATCCACAATCAGTGAGCAAAAAGAAGAGAAGCAATCATATGAGAAAGCTGATGACAAAAGTGATAACCTTCAATTCTCTGAAGGAGTTTCTTCACTTTCTGCTTACATCCATCACAGTGTATGTTCACTTTGAGATCACAAGTCTGGATTAAAAAGAAAAAGAAAACAACAAGAAGAAGAAAGAAAGATTCTTTATAAGAAAAGACCATCACTGTCCACATTTCTTGTACATATATATAAAAAAATTATCATTAAAAAAAGGACAAAAAGAAGGTGGGTAAAAGAGAAAGACCCGAATCTTGAGTAGCTTAAAGTCTTCTTCTTTAGTCATTTCTTCACCTCTGTTTCGAATGAAAGACTTGCTCTCTGTGAGAAAAAAAAAAAAAAAGACGACACCTGATACTAGGGAGGAGTTAAACAGGATTGCATGTGAGTTTCTAGTTCTACAAGTAGAGAATCTTTGCTTCTTTCGCTTGCTTGTTGGCTTCCTTCTCTTCTTCAGTTCAACTCAAAAAGAGACTAAAAGAAAAAGCACATGGATTTTTAAGCTTGAAAGCTTCTTCCTTTTAAAAGAAAAAAGAACAACCCGTAATGCCAAGGCAAACAGGAGAAAATTTACCAGCACAAAAAGTGGAGGCAGGCAGGAGTAAAAAAAAAAGAAGTCAGAGGAAGAATATATCATAAATAAAGAGAGTGAAACGTGGGAGAGCAAGGTCCGAGAAAAAAAGTGAGAGGAAATGGTGGGGGTGATGATAATCTAGACTGCTATATTGGAATTCTGAAATGATGTGATTTAACAAACGTTAAATACTGAGGAGAAACAATGACAGCAGAACAGCAACTTGACAAGCTCACCTGACCTCTCCTATCCCTCTCCTGTTTGTCACATGTACCCTCTTGTTTATTCTTTCTCGTGAAGACAATGAGGTAAAAATTTGACAATTAATCAATGTTTTTTTGTTTTCTTTTCTTGGGAATTGAAAGAAAGAATTTGGTTTCAAATTTTCAAAACTATTCGTTTAGCAGTATATATTTTGAATGGAACCAGCCATGACTCAAACATCTCAGAATATAAGTTCATTGCTGATTGCCATGTTGGGAGTTGGGACCAACGGCCTTATCTAACTCCGTCGGGACTTGGGAATTGTCCGCTCCCTATATTCCAACTCCGAACAAATCCACTAATGGCATCATTCTCTAGTCTGGTCTTCTTGCAAATATTATGGTACCTTCTCTTTAACCTTTATCATTTTCCTAATCCAAAATTTTCTGTAATTTTTTTTAAAATAATATATTAATTAATAAATTTATAATTTAAATATTTATTAAATATTTTATTATAATTTAAGAATTATTTATAATATTAATTTCAAATTAGATTTTAATAGGTAGAATGTACAAAATTTTAAATAATTTGAAGTAATAAAACTTTTTACAAATATATAAGCATTTTTATTAAAAAAATTCAGAATATTTTCTTATTTCTTAATTATTTGTCAAATTTTTATATTAACTATTTCTAATTAATTATTCACTAACTTTTTGACCCACTCATTGAACTTCAATAATTTTTAATTTTATTTAATTATTTTTTTAAAAAAAGAATTTCATCTAAAATTTAATAACCCTAATGAATATTAAATTTTGAACATTTCTTATGAAACTATATCATATTATTATAAATTAACATTAGCGTAGCAGAAAGAAATATTGTTTGAAGAAAAAATGCTATAAATGGGAAAAGCGACTGAAATAAGAGCAATCAGAAAGGCCATCCCATCAATTTGCAGACAGAAAAAGGTACGCACTTTGGACTGTAGTGTAGTATAATTGAGTCTGAGACGGCTAAAATGGGGCTGAAACGTTGAAAAATAAACCAAAAGAAAAAACAAAAGGGTTCGACTTTTTAACCTTTTGTGGTTCACAATTCCCAATCATATGTCCGCGTATTCTAACCTTTTCGTGCATTGAACAACCAAAACAAACCAAACAAACCAAACCAAGCATACAACCATGGCAGCAGCAGCAGCAGCAGTGTCATGGTCAGGGCAAGGCGTGCCTTGGTCCTACCATAACTATCCCAACACAAAATAGCGGACGAGATTTAATTTATGGGATGATGATCCCTGAACAAGTGTGTGGGTAAGCATGGGCCTTGGAGCAGGCCATTGTATAGGCATCTTGGACCCTCTTAGCATGGTCGGGTATTCTCGGGTGAAGCCTTGTTACTGGCAATTTTGAGTGGGTTGGTGGAGCAATGAATTGGATGCTGGCAACATGGAAGACCAAGAGGAAGAGTATGGTGTCTTGAGTTGACTTGATTTGGCCTTGAAATTATTTGGGAAGAAAAGTGTCTCATTTCAAACATTGTCACAGTTTCTGGAAGCAGAGCTTTAAAACCTCCTTGCTCTATACAGGGGATGTCTGATGTTAGCTCTCCACTACTCTCTTACCTTGCAAGTAAGGAAGGCTTGCTAATTTGAAGTAACTACTCTTAGGCACATGTGATATTTAGATGGGCAAGTATCGTTGGGTCATGAGTATGGTATAGTGCCTCTTTAAGACATGATAAATCTTATGACAATTGGGATTGACGAATTTTGTATTGTGCCTTTGTGTTAGCCTTTGGAGTTGTATGTGTTGGATTAAAAGCTTTTAATCCAATCATATCAACAGAAGCAAAATCAAATAATAAATCAAACACATAAGAGATAATAATTTAACGTGATTCGATCTAATCAACCTACGTCCACGGATAAGAAACAAGATCCATTAATTGTAGAGAATTACAAACATACATTAAATCATCAACCTCACTCAACAATCAATACTCATAAGACATTCTCAATCTCCTCTAGTTTTATGAAGTATTCTCAACCTAAACAAATACAAACCCAAACTTTTGTGCATCTTTTCAACATAACCAAACACATACCTATATGCTCCTATACATCATACCTATGTAGACCTTCTCAGTCTCCTCTAGTCCACTCACAAACAAACATATATACCCATAAGAAGTAGAGCCTCAATACTCCTATGGGATGTCTATCCCACAAAATCCTACAACTCTCTTACATTTTTTTTCTCATACATAACCCTATAGAGACTTCACTTATTTATAATTATACAAACTTGCTTATTAAGAATCTCTCTACTCTTATAATTCTTTTTCTGTAAGTCAAACTTGTCTATTAAGAATCTCCTTGCTCTTAGAATTCTTTTTTTGTTAGTCTTATTGTTTATCCAGCAGTATCTAACAAATCTCAAATAAATATCTTATGAGATTTGAGTCATTATTCCCAACAGTATGATAATATTCACTATGAGCGTCGATTTGCTTTCCAAGAGTTGGCTAATAAGAAATGAAAGATTATGGATTGATGCTAATGTAGAAAGGGCACCAAACTTGAGGCTTGAGTGGCCTAGCAGGCAAGTAAGCTACTAAACCCCCCGTAGTTACTCGATAGCATGCATGGGAGTGGGTTGTCGCTGGGATAACACACTCTAATATTTGATTGATGTGGGCATGATGTTGGCATCCATCATGCATGAGGACGGCATAAAATAAGGCTAAGAGGCGAAGCCTCAAGATGTAAACTTCATGGAAAATGAGATGAATCTAATGTGTCTCCGAGCTGACTGTAAATCAGCGTTGGTATTGTGCCTTAGGTTTCCAGGCATTAAAGCTGCGAAACATGTGTGTGTACATAGTGTTAGATTCTCACCATGCTAAAAGGTGGTTGCTTGGTGAGACTCGGGACTCTACGCCTCTATGTGAGCTCTTGTAAGAGCGATGCTCGAGACTTTGTTGTTTGCGGGTAATGGATTGGTGCTCGAAATCACCCTAAAACTAGTGGGTTGATTTGTCATCAGCATCGGATTACTCTCTTGAAGAATTTAGGAATGTCATGAGTGATCCTACGAGATCGAGCTAAGAAAGGCTTTCATACGTGAGACGAAAGAGCTGTTGTAGGTAGTCCACAAAAAAAATGAATATACAAAAAGCTGAACTCAACTATAAGTAGTTTGGGTATCGCATGATCGTGTTGCTTCAACTAAGACCCGTGCGATTCGTGACAAGCAGCAAGTTATGTGAATTTCAAGTTTGTGGACTTCTTGTTTTTCCATCTCCTCATGTAGCTTTTTGTTTTTTTTTGGTTTCCCAAAGCTAAAACCAAAGAATGGCACGCAATCATACAAAGGTCAAAATAAAGTAAAATAATATCAGAAAGAAGCAGAGAGCTGGTTGGTGCTGGGTTAAGTGTGTGTGACTGTGTATTATGTCCATCATTACTTGTTCCCCCCATGACATGCAAATTTTACTGGCTTGGCATGCCTCTCCCAAACCAAAAAGCTTTCAAAAAACCTTTTTTTTATTTCCTGCCTGAACTAGCCTGGCCCCTGGGGCTAGAGGGTGCCTTTGCTTGCTTCTCTAACAAGTCCATTGATTTTTATTCCTACGAATTTCCTGTAACTCCCGCTGACTTTTTTGTTTTTTAACTTTTACCCAAAAAAGTTTCAGTTCCCCAAAAAGAGGTAAAATGAAAATTCTCTGAGATCAGCATCTGAGCCAAAATTCTAAGAGGGAGGTGTAGAGTAGATAGTGCAGCAGTCTCACCTTGATTAGAGGAGAAGGGGTCGGAATTGAATAGATAGGATTTTTCAGAAATCTGGACGGTTCAAAGTGAACTTTGACTGAAGAAGTTGAAGTTGTGGTGAAAATACAATTGGCAACTTACCAGTCCGTCGATTTGATGATATTTGACTCTTTCTTGCTTATTTAAGTTCTCATTTCCCAAATTTTTCTGTTCTATATCGTATTAAATTCTTCCACGTGTCACAAAGCACCAGCTGAAATAGATACTTAATGAAATGCATTAGGAAAACGTCCTTTTACAAATATTATGATTACGCGGTAGTATCGCCGCCCCACATGCCGGAACATCCTTCCTTAACTTTCTGCGAAATCAAGCTTGTAAATTCCGGCCTGCTTCAGTGTCAACGCCTGCTCTATAATTTTATAAATACTCTATCGATGTTGGCATGAACATTGCTCCATTCACCATTCATTTGACAACTTTTGCAGCTTAATTTTGTTTGACGTCCAAAAACCATGGAAGCGACTTCTTTTCTTTGTAATAATCCTTTAGCTTCAGCTCTTCCACCAGGTCCGTTCTCTGGCGATTTGATATGCCGAAAAAAGGGTTTCGGAGGTGCAAAAACACTGAATATCAAAATATTGGCGTCGAAGAGAGACGCTTATAGTCACGGCTTCGATGGCAAACTTGTTGATGAGAGCATGGTTGTGTTACGAATGCGAATTCAGGAGATGACACAGTTGGAGAAGAGTTACGAGACACCCCAGCATTGGATGGAGTGGGAGAAGCAATACAAGAAAGCAAATTATGACCTTGATGTTTGTGAAGCAGTAGGATACTTGCAATCCATACTAATGGAAACAAGGCCTGGCGTGGCTCTTGGAATGGGAGCTCTTCTTCTGTTTACCGTACCAACTTCAATGGCTGTGCTTTTGTTTCAGGTCATGGCTATGATCATAAAAGGGTTACAATTAGAATTCACTTTTGTTCCTTAATTTGATACCAAAGGTTAGGACTTTCTTTATGGTACTATATCCATTCATATTGATTTTTTTTTCCTATGTAACCAATTACTTTTGGTTAAGGAATACAGCTTGCCTGCTTAAGCATATTTGGTTGAAATCTCTCGTTTTCAAAGCAAAAATATATATATATATATATTTTATAAAAAAATTTAAGATTTAACTTAATTAATTTATATAGTTATTTTTAATATATAATATTCAATAGCTATAAAATTCAAATCTAGAAATGCTAAATTATGTATTAATGTTGTATAAAATATTAATAATTTACATATTTACATTAAATTTTATTTAAAATTTACGTATTATAATTCGTTTCAATTTGAAAATATCAAATATATTTTTTATGATTTTGTTAAAATCACATTGGTTTTTGCTCAAATTTTAGATTGCATCATCTTTGTGTTTTTTTTTTTTTTATCATTTTCGTGTAATTTACAAATTTATTTAAATCTTAATATCTATTTTCTTTTTTTTTTTTGTACATTTGACAGGGGACTGAGATGAAGATGACAGAATTCAAAGTCTCTCTTATAAGTCTTCCTAAATTTTCTTAACCATTAAGTTAAAAAGCTGAAAATATTATTATTATTTTTCAATTATATCTATACTTATTATTAAATCGAAATTATATCTATACTTATTATTAAACCAAATGCTTAAGTGTCATATTGTTACAATAAATTGTCCTTGATATTTTCCTTAATCTCTTTCTCTCATATCTATCTTTTAGGAATTTATTGTTATGCTATTGGTATGTGTGTATTATATTTTACTTCTTTATCTCAATTTCATTATCCCTATTAATATATATATATATATATATATATATTGGATAAGTTATCCCTGTTAATATTTGACTTTTGCTGGATTTAAGGAAAATTTTTATGTTAATGTATTTTATATTAAAATTAAAAAAAATTTATAAAATGGATGCTTCATAACTTTTAATGTAAAAAACAATAAAAATGATAAATAAATTTAAAATATAGAAAAAGAAGAATATTTAAAGAAAGGGAAAACGAAATTTAATTTGAAACATCTTATAAAGGAAAAATGAACAAACTAAATAGGAGGGAGAAGGGAATATATATGGCTCTTTGGGAGAAACCATTTTATGTATAGACTCTTTTAATTTTTTATATTAATTAATAAGACATGAAAATTTTGAAATCAAAATGAAAAATGTTATGGCATTTTCTTTTTCTATCATTCTAGTTGAATTTAGTAGTTAGTAGAATATAAGAAAATTTTAAATGAAGTTTATTTATTTTTTATTTCAAAATTTTATTTTTGAATAATTAATTAATGTAGTATAAAAAAAATAAAATAAATATGATAAAATTTTATGATTTTTGCTCCCTCTACTATTTAAGAAGCAATAAAATTTAATTTTATTTCAAAATTCACTATCAAAATACCAAAAATATAACATCTCGTTATTTTATTTATAATTTTTTTATATTTGTGATTGTCGTTTCGATTATTAAAATTAAAAATCTAACAATTTAATAACAAATCATGTGATTATTAACATGTAATTTATAATTTTATTCTTTACATATATTTTTCCTCTTTACTTTTCACATGTTTTTTTTTTTTTTGTGGCCAATTTATTTCTCATATGCTTTGTAGCCAAATGTAAAGAAAGAACTACACAAATGCCTTCACCTCAACCGCACCAAAAATAATTAATAAAATATTTTTATCGCATACGACTTTTCGTCGGTCAATAATAATAATGAGTTATAGCCATGGCCGGTGGTGCTGTTGTTGCTCCTTAAAATTAATCTCATCAATTAATTATGGACGGCCTTTCTATATGCATTTACACTCCAATAATTCATTTTAAGTCAAATAATATTTTATACCTTTAGAATCCAATTTCAAATGCTTTTTAATTAGTAAAGGGACTTATTACATTTTTTTTTTTTTGGTTGTTGTATGGTGCTCTCATGTGTAATTTGTTGGAAACAAATTTTAATTAATAATTAATAATTTATCATTTCTTTATTTTTTAAAAAAATTTCAATTTTATAATAGCATTAAATTCATATAAAATATTTTCTTATTATATGTCATATTGAAGGAAAGATTTTCTTAAAGTGCATATTCAAATAAATTTATGATCATTGATTTTTTTAAAAGAAGAGAGTTCAATTTACGTAGTGTAAATTTTTTTTAGTTTTATATTTTTAAAATTTTTTATTTTAATATATTTAAACAAATGGATTAAATTATTTTTTATTTTTATTTCTCCTTTTCATTTTTTTGATCTATTAAAATTAAATATTAAAAAAAATTTACATTATGTAAGTTGATTACTCCTTTTTTTTAATTATTTTTAATTAATTTTTTTGTAAAAATTAAACTATTAAATTTTAATAAACATTCTAAATCTTAAGATGAAACTTGGCAACAAAAAAAAAAACCTTAAAAATGAAAAACTGTAGATCTTGAATAGGATCATTACCTTATCGTTCCTATGCGCTATGAAATTCTCATACGTCTCTCCATTTTTCTTTCTTTGTGATTAAATGAAGATAAAGCAAAAGTGATGATTGAATAATATTTTCCTAAAAAGTACACGTGCCGCCGTCCCCATTAAATCCCTTTTTTTTATTTTATTTTTTAAAATTTTTATGAAAACCAAATAGTATTTTATATGTATATAAAAAAGCATGAGAAATTTTCAAATATTAGTGGAGTGTTCGTAGGTAGAATTAGTAAGGTGATATATTTTTCTTAGGATATATTAAAAAAATAAATAAATTTAAGGATTAATTTTATGAATAATTTTAAAATTATAGTAAAATATTTAATTAATATTTAAATTTAAATTTTTTTAATATGTTATTTAAATTATGAATCTATTAATTAAAATTATATTTATCTTTAATATGATTAATTTCAAATGATGATATATTGAAGATAAATAACACTCAAATATTAAATTAATTAATATATTCATAGATTCGAGTATTATATTAAAAATTTTATTATAATTTATGAATCATTTATAATATTAATCTTAAATTAAATGAAATAGATTGTATGTAAGCTGTATAAAATTATTTTGTGGATTTAAAAATTTTCAATTTTCTATCAAATAAATTTTTAAAAAAAATCACTTACATCCCTCCTGAACTTAATTAAAATTAATAATTGATGAGTTTAACATCAATTAATCCATAATTTATAACTTAATTGAAATCAATAATGATGAGTTTAGCATCAATTAGTTCATGATTTAGAAGTATAAATTAATAAGCATGATTAAAGATATAAAACGATGGTTTAGCCCAATCATGCATTCATAAATTAATTTTATAAAATTATTATTCATTCAAATCACCAATTAATGCCACATGTAGCTATCAAAACGTGACAGCTGTTTCATCTGGGGATCCGCTCTGAAAAAACGCGCTACAAAGCTGTAGTTGGGCTATTAAAAAAACACGGTTGCTGCGTAAAATTTTTCTAAATCACATGGCCCACCCACCATGTAAATATTTCATTAAGCAATCAAACTATAAATATAATGCCACTAGCTACCACATTTTCGTATTACAGTCAAACATTTATCCTTTCTAAATTTCTTCACATCGAAGATTAAACAATGGAATCAACATCTCTTTCCTTTAACCCTTCTCTTTGCTCAAGAACATGCTTTCAAAATCATCATCGGAATAAGGCGATCTCGAGGAAGATTTTGGCCATGAGAAGATCGGAGGCACATGACCAAAATTGTAGCCGACGACTTGTGGATGAAAACATGATTGTTCTCCGGAAAAGAATACATGAGCTGAAGATGATCCAGCGCAACTATGAACCGCCGGCGGATTGGATGGAATGGGAGAAACGTTATTATACGAGTTACGATTCGATTATATGTGATGTTTTGGGTGTTTTGCAATCCCAGTTGATGAATACCAGGCCAAGCTTGGCTTTGGGGATGCTGGCTTTGATAATGTTAAGTGTGCCTACGGCTGCTGCCCTGACGTTTTTCCATTTGATGGAAATAACTAAGGGGGTTGTTGCTGCGATTCATTTGATTTAGTCAAAGTGGTGATCTATCTTTTGTAGATCGATAGCAATTTGATCAGGAAGAATGAAATGTTCTTTTTTTTTTGTCGTTTTGACTTTTAAAGTATGCTATTAATTTAGAATTTTTTATATATGTTGGTGCCGAGCTATTACTTTAGAGATAAAACTCTGAAAAAAAAAAATCATTAAAGACAAAGATTGAAAGTATTTTTAAAGTTTGTATTTCAACATTTAAATCAGAAATTGATCAAAGAAAAAAAAATAAGAAATGGGATTTTGGACAATTTAAGTTGTTTGAGGTCAGCTGCTAACCTGAGTTGGACATTAATCATCTAATTAGAGAATGACAAATTAACATTTTAGGGAATCTAGTGACTAAGTTGATGATGTAGGCAAAGTGACGTTGTTTCGTGAATTTAAATCAGTTTGACATATTAATTCGATTTAAAAATAAAAAATATTCTTAATTGTCTGTAACGAGAGAAAATGATTATTTTATTTTTTGAATAAAAAAACCTCCTAACAGTAAGAGTCTTAATTTAAAGATAAAGAATTATAAATATTAAAAATTTAAATTTATTAAACATTATTATTTAAAGATGAATTAATTAAATTAAATTATAAATTTATTAATAAAGAATTATGAATTTTAAATTTATTAAATGTTATTATTTGGAAATGAATTAATTGAATTAAATTATAAATTTATTAATTCAAAAAGTTTAAGTTAATATAATTTAAATTAAATTCAATGGACAGCGTTATAAAATTTTGTTCAAAAATTGTGTTTTTGCTTTTGGCAGTTTGAACATGTTGGAGTTAAATGTTCGTGGGAATGGTTGAATATGATGATAGTCTTTTAGTAAATTCGGAAGATAAAAGGAATTAAGTGTGCATAGTGATCTCCACGACCGTACATACGTTAAGATAAAATTTTCTTATGGTGGTACTTTCTCTTATCCCATTTGTGTTAGGATTGGTTATGTAAGTCCGAAGCGGAAGCCACTACCGCCCACAGGTGTATCCGTAAGTCCGATTAAGCTTGCTTGACATCTCAAACACTTGTAGATAGATGTCCGGGTCTAAGCCTAATTTGTCACGTAATATCCTTCGAGGCTTGAGCAGTAAAATTTTAAATTTATAAAATTAATATATAAAAATAAGTCTTTAAAATTATTTGAAAAAAAATAAATCTAAACAAAAATTTAAAAAGAGGATTTGTCTGATACTTTTATTGATGTCCAATCCTTTTAAACTAAATTTTTAATTTTTAATTTATCTAAAATCATTAAAAATATAATTTATTTTTATTTAAAAATTATTAAATATAACTTATAATCACTCGTATAGACTCTCGTCAATTAATAATCACTCATATAAACGCTAAAAGTTTTACATAAATTTATTATTAATTATAAATTATTTTAATTAAATTATTTTTTTTCATATATAAGATAAATAAGAAATCTAGGTTCCTAAAATTTAAACATTTTCTTTTTATTATAGTTTCTAACATACATTTTACCTTATTTTTTGTAAAATCTTAAATATTTTATTGACTTAAGTATCAAATGTGTTTAAAAACAATCAATTTCGACATCTTTTAATCGTATTTTTTAATTACAAATCCAAATTATCTCACATTTAACTTTTCACTAATTTTCCTCCAACTAAGATATCCAAAACTACCATCATCTAAAAACTTACAACGTTTATTCATCATTCGTGCCTGTAAATTGTCGTAATCAACTTGCTTAGAAGAATTTTCTGGCTTGTGGTTAAAAACACTGGAACTATGATCAATTCGTTAACAAATAAATTAACAAAAAAAAAAAAACAGTACTCCATGTTACTGTGCAGATGAAGTGAAATGACTAGACATGGGTACGTACCATGTGATTACAGGTGAGATTCCCTGATCTATTAATTTTGTCGTATATAGTGCTAGAGATTGTAAGCTGTAACTGTGAGTGAGAGATTACAAGTCTTGTTTGAAATCAATGGCCCCATAGAATAAACAACAACCGTACACATGAGTAGTCTGCCAAATTAAGGTACCTCCTTATGCAGAACACGTGCCTCGCAATGGCTTCGCACTAGCCAACGAGATTGCTACCAAGAGACTGGCTTGGTTGGGCAAAATTCAAGTGTAGAAACTACTTTTGGTACGGTGTGCCAATCATAGTTGGAAGCGAACAAGCTTGGTTCTATTATGATCCTACTCCTCTTGAGCAATATTCTTTTGCAGTCGTTCACTAATGCTTTGAACAATTACATACATACACATATATATATATATATGTATATGTATAAACTGTAGTTGTCATTAGAGCATACAGATACAGCTGTATGATAATATATTTGGCAGAGTACGATTTTTTTTTTTTGGTTTGTCTGCTTCAAATGTAATAGCTTAAAAAGAGGCTAATATTCAGACCACATATGAATATGCTTGACCTGTCGTGAATCTTCCTCTCAGCCTGCCCTTAGATTTCGATGTCGAGCCACCCCATCCATTCATTTTCATTTAAATCTGCCACATTTCCCAATCCTCGTACCTACCATCTATTGTAAATCTATCTTAATTTCTCTGATTTAGCGAAGTCACATGAGATTCAGTAGGAGGCTTTTTATTTTATTTATAAAAAAGTTATAATTTGGACATAAAAAATTTACGAGTAGACCAAATTTATATTTTAAATTAATTAAATAATACATTTTGAAAATAATTACATTAATTAACTAAATTAACTTAGGTTAAAAAATTTGGAAATAGTACAGCAGGCCTTTTGTTACTCGTTTTTTTTTTCTCCTATAAAAGAGTTGCTTGAGGCCCCCCCTTTTGCATCAAAGAAGAAACTGTGGAGAGTGTTCCTTTCAATTCGCTTGTCTTCGCATATGGCGGTGGTAGCACAATTGAAGCCCTAGCTAGGCAGTCCTTTGCCTCTCCTATAAAGCTTTCGATGGAACCCTATGAGCTCGCTTTTGCACCAATGAATTGAGCTTTTCTTTTTGTTCTAACATAGTATTAGCATAGGGTGTTAATTTGTGGTGTTCAATTACGAAGGTTCATCTACGAAGGAGCTCTCTTCAGTCCAGTCCAAGGCAGCGGAGGGCTGACACTCGGCTGCTGACTCGTTGGTTCAAAAGCTCATCGATCAACGAATGCACAGGAAAAACATATTACGATGCGTTTCTGATCCAACGATGCAGGAGCTGCGTTCAGTTCTAGCTGTCACGCCTTGGACTGAAGGGAGCTCCCTCTTGTCGATTCCACATAATTATTTAAAATAAGCTCTATAATTAACCCTACTATTCTTGCATTTTTGCTGCAGCCGGTTCTTGCAGCCAGAAGGCTTTGTTCAAAAATGGAGCTTGCTTTACTGAGTCAGAGTGGGATATGTATGAAGCATCCACAGGAGAGAGATCATAAACTGATAGCACTTTCATCCAGCTGGACAGGCAGCTTAATTTTCAGGGTGTGATCATCAGTTCCATTTTGCTGTATTATTAAGGTTCTTTTTCAAGCTTTTTTATTGCCACTAATAATAATTGGTGATTATAAAATATGAATGTTTTATACTTCATTTGGACAGAGGGTGTGAGTAATGTCCATCTTACCTTGTCGTTCTGTCACCAGACCTCTTTCTCATCGTGTATTTAAAAGAAGCACTAGTTTTAAATTTTAAGTAAAGCTATTTATCAATATTTAATAATTAAAGTGATCATTAATTCTATATATTAACTTTAAAATTAATATATTAAATTATCTTCTGTTAAAATAAATTATTGTAATTACCATATTTAAAAAATTGATTGAGTGATAAAAACTTGATTCTAATAAGAAGAAGGAAAAAATTGGAGAAAATAGGGAAAAAATTAAAAGAAGGGTATTTTTAGTATTTAAAGTAAATTTTTAAACAAATATTAATTTGACTAGTGGAATCCTAGCCAGGATAAATTATTCTTGTTTTGGAGTGACAATGAGTATTATTTTCAAATTAATAGAGACAAATATATTTTTGAAAAAAAAAATGCCATGGGAGACAATTATTTTCCCTAATTGAATTAAATATATTTAATATATAATTTAATTAATTTAATTTACCGAATTTAATATATATTTTTTTAATTTGGAGGAGGAAGGACTCAAATGCAATTTTTGAAGAAAAAAAATACAGGCTCTTGTCATTAAACTGGTACTCTGATGCCAAAGCAAAGAAAAAAAAAATACTGCTATTAACATATACACACAAAACATGATACAATAACGATTTACAAGGGGGAATTACAAAATGAGGCAATGAACTAAAACCATTCGATGTTTAAGACCATGCTAAGATGAAAAAAAAATTATTAAGAAGAAAATAAAAAATACTAACCTGCCCTTAGCTTTTGAATTGCTTCAAGATAACCCAAAAAAAAAAAAAAGACTTAAGGTAAGGGAGGAAAAATATGGTCGACCTGACATGTAAATTTTAGTATAATAAATAAACAAATAAATATCTTCATAATTAAAATTTAATTAAAATAAATAATTATATAAATAATAAATAATAAAGTAAGTAAACATTATTAATTTTAAATTTAATATGAGTAAATAACTTTTAATCTAAATTATTATATTCAAACTTTAAATAAGTTTATTACATTTAAATTTTAATTTAATATCTTTAATTGTTTTTTTATTACATTTCACTATGCCACTATTGTTATTTTTACATCCAAATATGTATATTATCATTAATTTTAATCTTATCATTATAATAACCAATTTATTATTACAATAATTAATTTTACTTTCATAATTATTTTTAATCTTATCAAAATCAATTTTACTCTCAATCCATATGGATCCTTAACAATTATGGAAACTTTTATTACCTTTTCTAATGGTCGTGTAAATACTTTTACTCCATTGTCGCGTATTGTAATTTACTATTTTTTTATTTGTTTGAAAAATGGGTTAATATGTAAAATATCCTTATATTATTATTTTTTATTATTTTAATATTTTAACTTTCATTACCTTTAACACTTTAATACTTTATGCTATTATTGTCGACTAAGTGGTTGATAAAATATGAATATCCAATTAAATCTTGCTCAAACAAGCCTCGTCGACATCGATCGGTCAAGTCCTGGATGGACCGATCCTGATCCAATCTTGGGTCTGTCGACTACGTAGCCCATGCCTTCTCCTTCGCTCTCTCTCTTTCCTTTCTCTTTTTCCTTCCCTCGTTTTCTTTCTTCCCATTTTTGCCCTTTCTCTTTTCCTTTCTCCTTTTTTATTTTTTATTTTTAAATTAAAAATATTTTAAAATTTTTAAAATTTTATTTAAATGTTAACATAAAAAATAAATAATTTGATGGTACCTAAACTTTTTTAAATCACGTCATAATTTTATTAAAAATTAATATCACATAAGAATTGACAATATTAATCTGAAATATTAAAAGGTTTAATGAAACGAAAGTTTATATATCAAAGTGAAAATTTTTTTTAAAGTATGAAAATATATATAATATCAGACATTTTTATATTTAACACTCCGAAAATTTATTATAAAAATGTAAGTAAAGAGAGAAAAAAAATTAATACAATAATTGATTTTACGGTAACAAATGATTTATCGGGCTTTTTAGAAGATATCTGAATCGCGTTTCTACGTCTCCAGACCTAAAGCTTTCCCGTGAATCTTTGATCATCTCTTGTATTCTCTTCCATTCAACTCCGTACTTTTTCTTTGGCCAAAAAAAAAGCTCAATACTTTCCGATCTGTAAGTTTTCTCTATAACCCTTTTCTTGGGGGAAATTTTTTTCAGTTAAGAGTCTATATTACATTGAAAGCTTTGTTTTTCTTACCCTTTTATGCGTTCTCATAGATTTAGCTGGAGCAGGAATTTTTGTTTAACCATTTTCAGGTTTTTATATATTGGGTGTTTCCTTTCGCTGTGGTTATTGATAGTTTTGTGTGATTTAGTGGTACTATAATGAACCCATGTTATAGGGTTTACAACTTTCCGAATTGGGTTTTAGAGATTGTGTTGAATTTCACTATTTTGATTGTGTGATTCCCGTTCTGTTCTTATATTGCAGGAGGAAATTGAAATTTTGTTATTTGATATTCAAGAAATTGGAAAGGAAGATGATTCGTTATTTGGCTGAAATTTATAAAAATGATATGAAGTCTAGTGGTGAAGATTTGTTAAGTGCTATAGTGCCTTTGATGAAACTTCTGTCTCTTACAGTTATAGGATTGGTTCTTGCACATCCCAAAACGCAAATCATTCCAAAAGCTACATTTAAGCTCCTAAGCAAGCTTGTTTTTGCACTGTTCTTGCCCTGCCTGATTTTAACCGAACTGGGTGAAAGTATTACGTTTGATAGCATTGGTCAGTGGTGGTTCATTCCAGTTAATGTGTTAGTCAGTACTTTAGTTGGTTGCTTGCTTGGGTTTTTGGTGGTTATTATATGTCACCCGCCACCTGAGTATAAGAGATTTACCATCATTATGACTGCCTTTGGCAATACGGGTAACCTCTGTCTTGCGATTGTTGGATCTGTATGTCACACTTCCAATTCCCCTTTTGGACCCCATTGCCACTCTAGAGGTGTGGCCTATGTCTCTTTTGCACAGTGGGTTGCTGTGATTCTTGTCTATACCTTGGTTTATCACATGATGGAGCCGCCGATGGAGTTCTATGAAGTTTGTGAAGAAGGGACTGAAATTGAGGAACAGAGACCAACCAATGATATCAGCAGGCCTCTTCTTGTAGAAGCTGAATGGCCTGGTATGGAAGAAAAAGAGACTGAACATTCTAAGACACCATTCATTGCCAGGACTTTTAACAGCATCTCAATTTGTTCAGCAACAACTTTTCCTGACCTTGATATCGATGGAGAGACTGGTGAGAGCAGTCACAAATCCATTCGGTGCTTAGCTGAACCAAGAGTAGTCAGGAAGATCAGAATCGTTGCTGAACAAACTCCAATACAGCACATACTTCAGCCCCCTACAATTGCATCTCTATTAGCTATTATTATTGGTATGGTGCCTCAATTAAAATCCTTTGTCTTTGGATATGATGCTCCCCTATCTTTCATCACAGACAGCTTGGAGATTTTAGCTGGTGCAATGGTGCCTTCTGTGATGCTCATTCTTGGCGGTATGCTAGCTGAGGGTCCAAATGATTCTAAGCTTGGACTCAGAACCACAATTGGCGTAATAGTGGCAAGACTCTTGGTGCTTCCATTGCTCGGAATAGGGATTGTGACACTTGCCAGCAAATTGAATTTTCTTGTCCCTGGTGATGCAATGTACAGATTTGTGCTCTTGTTGCAATATACTACACCAAGTGCCATTTTGTTGGGAGCTATTGCAAGCTTGAGGAATTATGCAGTTAGTGAGGCTTCAGCACTTCTCTTCTGGCAGCATGTATTTGCTCTATTTTCTTTGTCTCTGTATATTGTTATTTACTCTAAATTGCTGCCACATATGTAGATTGATAGATTTGCCTAATGTCTTGGCGCATGAAAATCTTGTTGGCTAATTGGTTAATGCACAAGTGCTTCCAGAATGCTGCTGTCGCCATCCGATTAAATAAGATGTAATCCTCTGTTCTATGTGCTGTATCGGATACCGGGGATGCAGTGAATGCAGTTGATTTTGTAGCACCATTAATGCAGTTGTTCTATGTGCTTTGTTTGTTCTTTGTAGCACTTTTTTCTTTATATTCTTTGTGAAAGCCACAGCAATCTGATGTTTCCTCTCGATTAAAATCCATAATCCCAACCAAAAATCAACTCAACCCGTTTGTTGTCGTCTATGTGCATAGCCACGGAACAAGAGGAAACCGATAAAAACATTCTATGGAATTCAAAACTAAATAAGGATTAGATTTACAGATTGACACCAGACAACAGCTTCGGCCTCTGATCAAGATTCGTGATGGTCTCTGAAATGAAAATGAACTAATATTCATAAAACTTGTGCTCAGAAACTGGACATGGCTCTCAGTCTTAAATTCAAAGTTGGTTTCATTTGGTCTTTGAAACACACGAGTAAACCATTAACAAGTCGAGGGTGGCTAAGATAAGGAAAATTGTAACTATTACGAAGGGAGGCAAGAATACAAAAGTTGGATGAAACAAATAACCGAGTTAATAAATTGCCTTCTATCACACGTTAAACAAGAGACAATAAGCAACAAACACATGTTAAACCAGAGCTCCTATTTGCTCGTGATAATGGCGTGTTTTGCTGATAAAATGTAAAAAACTTTTAATTTCAATAATTATGTAATATGTTGGTAAAATAGTGAACTCGATTTCGGTAATTAAAGATTGAATCCTGACAGTCTCGCATAAAAAGAAAATCACCACATCTGCCCTGAATTCATGAAACCAATACAAAACATTGCATGTCATTTGCAATTTGCAAGTTGGCCAATACTCCATACGTTATGAGGCAAAAAGCAACAACCATGCAGGTTTTAAACAACATTAGAAACCTATTAAAGAACATAAAACACCCCTTGTTTCAAATATCAATCTGATTCTGTCAAAATTTTCAAATATATTGCAACTGGTCTCACAATCCTAACATTCCTAGGCTTTACTTCCCTCAAAATTGCCTCCGTAGAAATAGCAAAACTTGAGAAGACAACTCTCCTCATCAAGCAATTGATATGCCAAAAAATAATCCAAAAATCCATCCCCAGTTACAATAGTAATCCCCTAAATATTAAAAGGTGTTAGAATGATTTTCTCAGTTTCTACTTATTCTTGATGGTGATTCCAAGCTCACCCGCTATAATAACAGTAGTAGCCATATCAAGAAACATGCCATGTTCAACAACACCAGCAATCCTCGAAATAGCATCACTTGCAACCTGCAAATCCTCCATATCTTTCTTCAAGTACAAATCGACAATGTAATTCCCATTGTCCGTTACAAAAGGCTCCCCTTTACAATCATTCCTCAGGTTGGCGACGCAACCCGAATGTTGAAACAAGTTTTGGAGTTTGTTAGCAGTGAATTTCCAACAAAAGGGAACAACTTCAACAGGCATAGCCAATCCACTACCTCCCAAATACTTGACCAACTTTGATTCATCAACAATGCAAACAAATTTCTTACAAGCTCCTTCCACCATTTTCTCTCTTAAAAGGGACCCACCTCTGCCTTTGACGAGATTAAGATGTGGGTCCACTTCATCAGCACCATCGATTGCTATATCAATGGTGGGATGGCTGTCGAGATCTGAAAGTGGGATACCTAAAGAAAGTGCTTGTTCTTGTGTTTTCTTTGAGGTAGGGATTCCTATGATGTTTTTCAGTTTGCCTTGAAGAAGCAACTCGCCGATTCGATCTACGGCGTGTTTGGCTGTCGAGCCTGTGCCTAAACCCAAAACCATGCCTGATTCAACGAACTCAACCGCTTTAAAAGCGGCAATTTTTTTCAATTCGTCTTGGGTTAGGATGACGGATGGTGACACAGGAGGAGACAAGGACAAAGACTCCATAGAAGAAGCTTTTTCAGACCAAGCAATTGCCATTACTTGGGAGGGAGGGGGATTAAGGGGTAATAAAGAATAAAGAAGAATAGGTTAATATTAAAAGAAAAATGGTGAGGATAAAATAAATAAACGGAAATCAAAGGATTAGTATTGTAAGAGAAATGGGAAAAGAATAGAAAATGTGGGATTTTTTTCTTTCTCCTTTTGTTTTTCCTTTAGTAATCCAAATATTGGAATGAAGGATAACAAAAAGGGCAAGAAGAAACCAAAAGGAAAGAGACAAGGGAATCGTTTCTGTGGTGAAGCGAAGAGAAAGAGATAGATGAATGGAAAGAAGATAGAGAAGGAGGCGGGATAAGGGATTGTTTGGTTCCATCAAAAGCCAGCGGGTTTTTGTTTGTCAGTCCAACGTTTGTTTCTTTTCAGACTGGTCTTTTTGGACGGGACCCATATAAAAACGAAATCAAATTTCAAAGATCAACGAACACGGAGCCGTGTCTTTTTTTTTTTTTCTTGAAAAATAAATCAACGGTGCTCTTTATTCTTTAACACTATATAACACTAAAGTTTGCATTAAATTTTTTTTTATTTTGGAATTTTAATATTACATTAACGTTAAAATAAATAAAATTTATATTAATTAATATGGTATATTTTGCACATCAAATAAAGATTATATGTTAATATAAATTTCTAATAACATATACTTTATTAATTTTAATTATTTATAAAATATATGTCCATCAAATATATTTAAAATAAGTAATCATATATGTGGCGGGTGATAACAAATACCAATTCTTTCAAAATGTTGGAAGGTGGATTTTTTTTTTTTTTTTTTTTTATCATTTAAGAGGAGTAAAACCCTATATTAAGAGAAACAAATTAAAATTTGAACCTCAATTTTGATATTTTTTTAAAATTATTTTAATCATTAAATTGAATAGTTGAAGATAATTTTATTTTTATTTTTTACGATTTTGTCTCTGAAATGAAAACCTTGTTTTCATAATAAAGTTTAATGGATTTTATTGTTAAAGGCTGCGCCTTTGTCTCCCTTTTATTTTAGCGAAAAAGAATCTGTGGTGATATTTTATTTGAGAAATACATACAACCGTGGATGGTCAACCGACGAAGATGGATATTTCACTGATCTAGGGAAAGTCAATCGTCCGGCGAAACGCAGCTTCGTTAATTAATGTTTCGTAGAATCATGGCCACTGATTTCATTTCCCATGATTCTGCCGCGTTAAATATGTATTTAAGAAATGAGAAATACTCATTTTCCAAAAAAAAAAAAAAAGCACACTATCTTGAAAGGTGTTATGCCAAACGCTCCAAGAGTTGATAAAATGCATTAATTTCATATAAAATAAAATAAAAAGATTATTGGATATATAAATATTACCATTACATATTTTATAAATTTATTTTATGAAAAGAAGTGATATTAAAATTAACTCTTAACTCAACAAATTTTATATTAAATATTTTAATTTGAAGATAAATAAAATGAATTAATCTTATCATTTAATAAAATGTTAAAATACGATAATTGACCATTTAACAAGGTGTTAAAGTATGGCATAATAACACAAAATTTAATCATACCAAGCACTTAAAAAAAAAGTAGATAAGATGATAACCCCATGCCAAGCATTTCAAAAAAGAGCAGACAAAGTGACAGTTGTGATGAGAATCATAAGATTAGATAGGAAGAATGTCATATCAAACTCTTAAGAGAGTAAGTAAGATGCATTAATTTCACATTGAATAAAAAAAAAGAACGCATTACATATATGAATGTTGATGCTGTATATTTCAATAAATTAAATTTACGAAAAAAAATAATGATAACGTGATAAATGATATCAAAATTAACCATTAACTCATTTAACTCACACTCCAACTTGTAGGTAAGTATAATAAATCAATAAAATTATTTAACAAGATATCAAGATAAAAAATAATAATTGATCATATAATAAAATATCGAAATATGAGACGGTGGTTAAAGTTATCACGCCAAGTCCTCTAAAAGAGCAAACAAACGAGAGCCTTAACTAGGACGTTATTAGATTGAGTGCGGAAAATTTTCTTGCCAAACGCTTAAACAAGTAAACAGAACGCATTAATTTCACATTAGATAAAAAAATCACTGAATATATAAGCATTACGCTACACACCCTAAGGAAAAGTGATCAGGGAAATTGACACAAAAACTTAGAAATTGAGAGACCCATACAGGAGGAAAGTAATGACTGATTATTATTCTTCGACCCACCCTAAAGAAATCTAATCCAAAGCTTCAAAACTAAACTTTATTAGAAAATTAAAAAAAATTCAGTATGCTATTCTACTTTATCAGAAAGTTAAAATATTCAGTATATTATTCTATACATTTTACGATTTTATGCTTCGAGGAAAGCAATCTCGAAAGGGGAAAAGTGATATTTATTTATAAAATCAGAGTTAATCTTTAGTTATTAAACGTGAGATAATTTTTTTAAAACATTAATCCTAATTAAAGATATAAACTGTGAGTTTGTTGAAAGATTATACAGTTTTTTCACAGACGACATCATTGTTTATGCAGCAAATCTGACATTATTGATGTAAAAATTAATGAATTGCTCTGCTGTAAGGTATTGTCTGCTCTAAAAGTTTGAATGTCTGAAGTCTGAATTCATTTGAAAAAAAACGGTTCAAATTGAAAATGACAGGCCTTATTTATACAGTCACGATCCAATCCTTATCTATTAGATATGAAATCATTTTCCCTAGAGGCTAGCCCTAATCAAGATATGGATTACGTGTTCCAAGATGTAGAATATTTTTTCAATATTAGCCACCTTCAAGAGGTAAAAAGCGATGCTCTTGACGGTAAGATTGTTAAATTTCCGCATGCATCCCTGATATAAATAATTGTTAAGTGATTTTGTGGAAATAGGATAAATTGTAAAAGTGATGCACAAGTGAACAATCAGATATGCAAAGTGCATTGGGTTTTATGTATGTGATGGCGCAACCTGTTACCATAGGAACAATGAATGCCATAAGCTTTCAACAGCAACCTAAAATTGTCCCAAGCAAAACCACTTTGGTGATTCAGCCTTTCCTTTTCTCCCATTGAGGGAGACCAACAAAACCTTTCATAATAGAGGTAGCTAATGACATAAAAATCATATTTGATGGATACGATAATGAATAAAATAAAATAATAATTATTTTATATTATATTTAATTCGTATATAAAAAAAATAAAATTATAAGATTAATCATCTTTTTAATATAAAATAATTTAATTTTTTTAAAGTAAAGAAGATTATTTTTAATTAATATAATTGAACTTATATATTTTATTATATCCTTAAAGATTATTTCAATAATTTAAATTATATAAACTTTTACGAAGAATAATTTTAATCAATCTTTGTACATATTAAACATAAGAGAAGATATTATTTAATCTAATTCTATTCGTAATATTATTTAATTTTATTCTATCACAATCTTATGTAACAAACACATCCAAAGGAGATAATATTGTCAATGCAATAATGAAAGTGTCTTCTGAAATAACCTTAAAAGAAGTTTATACAATATTCCCATATTCAAGTTAGTAAAGTTCTACAATGTTTAGTATTTACCAAAAACAAAAAGATAATTCTTCGGTCTTTACTGTTTTATCATATGAAGAACAAAATCAGGTGGAGAGAAGGAATTGGACCACACTTTTATCAGACAATTCATAAAACTCATTCTAAGTAGTCATGCAGCGTGCCTAATGTGAATGGAAGTTTAGAAAACAGACGTAGGACATTCCTTTCTCAAAATTAAGATTATGTTAAATCTGGAGAACCCAAAATTAAATTTCATGATAGAAAACTGGTAAAGAATAGGACCTCAAGTGCGAGAGTTGGTATAAGGCTGTAATCTGAATTTCTACTTGGAGCTTGAGTTCATCCAACTGGCCATCTTAAAGATTGTGTGTGATTTTTTGTTGTTTTAGTAATCTTAACTCCAGCTTCTCCTTGGCCTGAAAAGTGGTGGAAGGAAATCAGATAAGAAAGTTACATCCTACTTATCAAAAATTCTCTCTACACCTCTCCCCCACCCTTTTGCCCCGTTTCTCTATACACTCTAATGCTTTTAATCCTATTTGAAACAACTTGTATCATCATAATTATCATATTTTCTTTAAAGAGTATAGTTGGTAGTAATACTTCCGATTCTTCTGCTGCGAACGCCAGTAGCAAGCAAGCGCTCCAAAGCACAGCTAGGAAGAGCAATAGCCAATGCAGCCCCCACAGGCACCACAACTGCGTCTGTTGAGGCCACCAAATCATCCATGGTAGCATTGGTCCCATCATCAGCAAGTAGACCCTTTTCTTTGTACAAAGATACAAGCATATTTCCATAATAACTAACTAAAAACTTGAACACTTCAGCCTGATCCCAATCAATCTGACTGCTTCCTTTATCTTTGGGGCCTCAGGAGCGATAAACATAATGAACAAAGCTATTTTGGAGGCGAAATAATCTTTGGGAACTTGAGATCTCCAGTTTCTAGAGATGCTTCTTCCTTCATTATGTGCACTCCACAACCAAAGGGCAACATCACGGGCTTTTTTGAAAGGATTAGTAACACTGCAAATTGAATATTTGCAGTTAGATGAAATAAAAGCTTATATATTTAAGAAAATAACTTGTCTTGGAATCAAATTTACCTTGAACACATCTCCCGAAAGCGCTGACGGCACTCCTCACAAATAAAGAAGTTGTGAACAAAATCACATACAGATGTAAATGCAAACTGGCTCTATCCATCCTCAATCCTCACAGAGAGTGAATGCATTAAAACCCATAAGCAACAACTGCAAACAAACATGAATAATTATTGACACCTTATAAAATCAATTACAACTAAAGGAAGTTCTCTATTATAATTCTTATAATTGTTAAAAAATAAATGTTCTTAGTAATTGAATTATAGGAACAAATAACTATGGAGGACAACTAGTTTAATAGAATAAAACAATGACGACAAAGCTATCATTTTTTAACATCATATATTGCAAAATAGCCTAATTTGTTGTTCTATGGCTAAAATATCAAAATAGCTTAACATAAGCTAACTTCAACCAAGCTTGTTTACAAACTGTTCAACAAATGTATTGGTTCACTCGTACCTTACTCTATGCTCTCTTTCCTCCCTTTCTTTCTCTCAATGGTACCATAAATCCTCCTCTCTCTAGACTAGATCTTTGTTGGAAAACAATTTTCCTTATTTAATGCAATGTGTTTTATATATAGGAGAAACAAGAAAAGTGTCATTAATCAATAAAGAATTTTCAAAAATTTGTTTGATCATTCACTGATTCT